TGCCGCTGCGCTTTGGCCTGGAGGCGCGCATGCAGATGGAGGCGCGGGCGGCCATGGAAGCTGCTGCCGCCGCTGCTGCTGCTGCTGCTGGCGCTGCTGCGGGTGCGGCTGGGGGGGGAGCGAGAGGCGACGGGGGAGGGGGGAGAGCGGGTGCTCGCAGTGCGTCACACCTGGGTGGGGGGCATGCAGGGCACGCTACGGGTGCAGGCGGTGGGAGTGCAGGGGGGGGAGCAGGAGATGGAGGGGGGTCAGGCAGTCCGAGCAATGGGCCAGGCATGGTGCCTCTCATCCGCTCCAACACCTCCCCCACGCAGCGCCCGTCAGGAGGCTATGACATGGGCGGCATGACAGCAGCGGCGGCAGCAGCTCATGCGCAGCAGTACATGTACGGCATGCGCGGACCCTCCCCCATGAACCCCTACGCCTCTCAGCCCGCACCGGGCAGCAGGGGCGGGGCAAGCAGCGCAAGTGCAGCGGCCATGGGTCAAGGGGGGCCCGCATCGGCAGCGCAGGCAGCTGCTCTGCAGGCACAGGCGCAGGCAGCGGCGGCAGCAGCAGCAGCGAGCAGTCGGCTGCATCGGTCCAACTCATGGAAGGGCTTTCTTCCCCGCAGAGCTGCTGCACCCCCCGCTGCTGCCGCTGCTCTGCAAGCCCCCGTGGCGGGTGCAGGCGCTGCAGCAGGGGGTGGCGCCGGGGGCTTGGCTTATGCTGGCGGTGGGTTCTCGTCTGGTAGCTTCTCCTCCCAACCACCCGTGGCAGGAGGAGGCATGGCCGCGTATGGGGGTTATGGCATGGGGTATGGGGGAGGGGATGTGGTGGGACGAGCAGGATATGTGGGAGTGCAGGGACAGGCAGGAGTGTATGGGTCAGTTGGTGGGGGCAGTGGGAGCAGCAACAGTGGAGGGGGAGGGGGAGGGGGCGGGGGAGGGGGCGGGGGAGGAAGTGGGCCGCTGCCTCCGCATGTGCCCAAGGCAGGGTCGCGCAGGCAGTCAGCAGCGGAGTGTGTTGATTCTTAGCCCCACCCGTGCAGTGCACACTGCGTGCACCTCTTGCCTCGCCTCGCCCTTGCCCTCGCCCTGCACCTCCCTTTATGGAAACGCCCAGCATGCTTGAGCACCTCCTGCATGCTGCACTTATTGTTGTAGCTTCTTTCTCCCCAGCCAGCGCTGGGGAACTCTGTGATCCTCCCATTCTTCCTCTGACTCAGCTATGGCGTAGTTGCCACCAGTGGAGAAAACATGACAGTAATGTATGTAGGGGATCATACATGCGTGCATACTGCAGATTTGTGGGAATTGGTACGTTATAGAGGGAATTGTGTACGGAGTGTTGTATTCAACTCTGAATGACATGGTGCTCCAACTATGGTCTAGTTGATTGCAGCTTGGCATCCTGTGATGCACCAGATGGGCATACCAGCTTTTTACATGATCGTTGCGTTGTGGATTATGAAAAGGGGTCTGGCGTGTGTGGATTAGTGTGACTGGGGAAATGCATTTGAATTATGGTATGGTGCTGCAATTGTTAGTGGATGTGGAAGCCTCACATGCCTTTTGCAAATTAATTCCAGTATAAATTACATCCAGGTAAGAAAAGCTAATGTCTCTTGGCAGACTGCCTAGAAAGACCAAATGAAACAAATGTAAGGGCCTGGTGTAAACAATGGTGTGTATCGTACATACAATCACTATCAGATCTGATGTCCGATCATACCGTATTTTCTGTTAGCAACGAATCATCTGTTTAGGCTTGGACCGGCATTTCTGGCTCCAATCAAATCTCTCCCCTCCCCGCGCGTGAAGTCGACAGAAGGCTCGGAGCAAACGGTTGCCTTCACGTGCCCGCCTCACCGCGCGCACACTCAGCGCGAGGCACGGGGTCGCTACAATTGATGCCCGACCAGTGCACGCGAATTTGCCATGCACCGGATGGACACGCTGCCCCCGAGGTCGAAACCCCTGCTTGCTGCACCCCATGTACAGGCACATGGATGGCTACCTACAGTGCACGCGGCCCGGCCGACACTCCACGTGCAGTCCACAACAAACAGTGCCGACCCATGTTTCCCTTGTTTCGTGGCCAGGAGTCAAGCAGGCGAAACGACTGGACGAAACGAAAGTGGTTTCGTGAATGCATTCGCCCACCTGCCTCGCCACCTAAGCGAGGATCATGGTGCGTGTAACAGACATCTGGGCTGGTGCACGTTGCCACGTGTATTCCGCACTTGTGGGGTACAAGCCCATTAACAACCAGGCGTTGTTCGCCTACCCCACGTCAGAATTCCAAATGGATGGTAACCCGTGTGCATGATCGAAAATGTAAGACATGTGCATGCAACGAACAACCACCACACGAATCAAACCCCCCACACAGAACGGGCCCCAGCAATGCTCAGCGTCGCCCTCCAACCAAAGTTAAAAACCGCGCAGCAAATTCACTCGAGCATCGTTGTCACCCGCCACGGCCTCCCACCATGCCGCGAAATAATCGCCGTGAGCAGCTTCCGCTGCACATCAACGGGCATTATGCCTCCATCACGTAGAGCACCCCCTCCTTCGTCACGTTGACCTCGCCCGCTGGGTTTACTCCCAGTACGGCTTGCGACCTGACCGCTCCACGGTCGGCCGCATCCTGAAAAATGCCGACCGATGGGCGCTCCATGAAACGACTGGCGCCAACCAAGTGCGCCGACGGGGTGGCGCATGGCCTGAGCTTGAGCAGGCCATGGCGCGCTGGATTGCTAACGCTGGCCCCGCGGGCGTACCACTCACTCTGCAGACGATCCGCGACCACGTGGCGACCATGGCGCGCAACATGGGCATTCCGCCCGTGTTCCGCTGCTCCATTGGCTGGGTGCGCCGTGCGTTGCGGCGCCAGGGGGTGCGATGCCGTGCAGCAGCCGGCGAGGCGGCGAGCGCCGACATGGCTGCTGTGCGTGAAGCCCGTGAGAAGGTGCCGCAGCTTCTCACTCACCTTGGCTATCGCCCGCGCGACACATTCAATCTGGACGAGACCGCGCTGTGGCTCTCGGTGCTGCCTCGGAAGACGTACAGCAACGCCCGCATTCCCGGACGCAAGGTCTCAAAGGATCGCCTGACCGTGGCGTTCCTCGTTAACGCCGACGGGAGTCACGTGTTCCAGCCGGCACAACGCTAAGGGGTGGATAACCTCCCCGGTAAGTGATTGTGCGCGTGTGGTTTAAAATGTGCAAGTGTTCAGATAACAATATTTTAACATTAAAAGAACCCGGTTCGTAAGATTGTTTCTCATGGCGTGTCCCCCCCCCCTCCCTCCAAACCCCCGTCAACAGTTGTTCACACACTTTATGTCGCAGCTCAATGCTGCGATGTATGCCGAAGGGCGGCACGTCGCGGTGCTGCTCGACAATGCAAGCTCGCACATGCTGCGGGACGAGACCGCGTGGAGCGAAATCGTGTGCGGCATGAGGACGACCTGCCTGAGCAACGTGCGTCTCATCTTCCTGCCGCCGAACACTACCGCCTTCACGTAGCCCCTCGACCAGGGCATAATCGCCACTGCGAAGGCCCGCTACCGCCAGCACTGGCTGCGGGCTTTCACGGCTTTGTGGAACGACGACGGCGCCACAAGCGCCGTCGCCCGCTATCGCCCCAATCTGCGCGACGTGCTGGGGTGGCTCTCCGACGCCTGGATGAGTGTCGGTGCGCGCACCATCCAGAGGTGCTGGTGGCGCACGGGCTGCCTGCCTCTGTCGTGGTCCATGGAGCTCACCCATGTGCATGACGACGAGCCGACCCCGCATGCATACCCCGACATCGAGCTCGATGATGATATCGACGACGTCGGCGACCTCATAAGCTCCCTCGGCCTCGGCAACGGCGCGATGACCGCCGCCGAATACGTCGCCATCGACGAGGGCGAGCCAACGTGCGCGGAGCCGGCTGTGGAGCCGACTGCTGATGATGCGGAAGCGGGCCTGGTGGCGGAGCTATGGAGGGCGCCGACCACGATGCAGGCGGTGTATGACGATTCAGACCCCGTGGGCCGTGAAGCGCGGCGCACAGCACGGGCGGCCTGCGAGATGCTCATCGGCTACGCTCGCGCCGTGAGCGTGACCTCGCGCGACCTTTGCCACCTGTTCGACATTCGTAATCCTATCATCATCGAGCGCATGGAGCGGGCAAGCCCCGCGCTTAATCTCAACACGGCCCCGCCGCCAGTGCTTTCGCCTGGCGCAACTCCGCCGCCAAGCACTCCTCGTCCGCGGGGCCGAGTGCTGCCTGGCTGGATGACCCAGCCGTCCCGCCGTCAGCAGCTTCTGGACGGCGGGGTTGGCGCCGCGATGGGCGGGTACGTAGAGGCGGCAGAATGGATGCGCCTCTGAGTTGTTTTTTGTGGATTTGTGTTCAGGCGTCGAAGGCATTGTTGAAGTGTTGGGATTGTGCATATAACGGACAAATTTGCAGTAGGGGGGACAATGTTGAGCTTGGGGGTGTGGGGCCATGTGGTAGATTGTGATTGGCCCGGCTTTGTGTGTCAGCTGTTTCAATCTAAGTTGAACAATTGTTGATGTTGCTTTGTGGTTTGGTATTGTTTCGTGAGGAGTTAAGTAACGCGCATTTGGGACAATTGGTGCCACCCATCACTGTTACAGAACGGACAAATTGAGTGGTAACCATGTGCACGTTAAATGCACGTGCAAAGCCTGACGAAACCACCGAACAACCGACGAAATGACGGTTTAGTTTACAGTCCCCCTTCACAAGGCAACCGGGAGGGGCTCTAACGAGCATTAGCTGTACCAACACCGTCGCCTTCCACTTTCCGCCACTCTCCGCCCCTCCGCAATCGCAAGGCCCTCCCCCTTCCCTCTCCATCTCCCCTTCCTGCTCGACTTGCTTGCCGTATCACTTCACCTTCTGCAACAGTATCACTTATCACGTCCTTCGTTCGCCCGTTGACCACCTATAGGAGATTCAACCTGGGCCGGTACCGGTCTTTTTTCGATGGCAGCAGAGAGGATGGGAGGGCGATCTCCGCGGTCCCCGGGCGTGGTGGAGCGGTGGGCGGTGGAGGTGGGAAAGGACACGCATCGCCTGTTGGAGTTCGTGCTGCAGGAGCCGGAGGTGGCGTCGCAGCGCGTGTCGCTCGTGCTCGTCTACGTTATGAGCGAGGTCCCCTGCGCCAGTGAGTGCGCCCGGCTTGCCGTACTCGTCGCCGTTAACTCGTTTCGTTGTGTCGTTCGCGTTTCAACCCCCCTTAGCCTCCACCCAACGCCGCGCTGCTCTCTTCCGCGGCTCCTCTCGTTACACCACGAGGCGCCTTGAGCGCACCTCTGGCCGTCTCTAGTCGACCAGGAGCGTGCCTTAAGGACAGCGTGCCGTTCGTTGTTCCACGTGGCTGTGTGCGCGCAGTGGGCATATCGTACAACGTGAGTCAGCTCGAGTCGCGCGTGGCGGACATTCACGAGGCGCACGTGATGGACACCATTCTCAAGCCGCTCGTCATGGAGCTGCACTTTAAAAAAAAGGTCGCACCGCCCTTCCTTCCGCACTCCCGTGCGCCATCACGCTCCCTCACATCTCCGCGCCTCGTTTCCCTCACTTTCAGCTTCCTCCCTTCAATCGTCTTCGCTCTTTCACCCATGCTGCGTCGTTATTCCCCGCCGTCATTCACGGCCATGCTCTTGCCGCATTCCATCCGCCTGCGGGCTGCTTCTCCCCCTCCTCCGCGCAGCTCGTCGCCACAGCGCACGTGGCGCGCGACGACAAGCCGGACGTGGGGCTGTGTCAGGCCGCCATTCGCGTCGGGGCGTCGCGTCTCGTGGTGAACTCGCGGCACTCCTTCCTCCGCCCTAACCACAGCTTTGCGCACGGCTGCGCGCGCCACCTTGCGCCGCACCACTGCTCCGTGCTCGCCGTCACCACCGCCAAGAAGCGCCCCTCCTCCGCCGCCTTCGTCCTCCCCAGCGGCGCCACCATTCCCGCCGTCCAACCCTCGCCCTCGCGCCTCTCCACCTCCTCTTCCACCTCCTCCTCCTCTTCCTCCTCCGCCTCCTCGCTCGTAGGCTCTCCGCTCCACCCCCCCGCGCTTACCCGCGATCCAGATTCCGCCATCGCGCAAGCTCCCACGCCCCCCCGCGATCCCCGCTCCACCTCCCCGTTCCAGCCGCAGTCTCGCCGTCGCGCGCAGGTGCACGGGCAGGTTGCGCGGGCGTCGGGGGACGACTCGGAGGCGGGTGCGCGGCTAACTCCGCGCGACTCCTCGTCCGCCTGCGCGCCCTCCGTCATTCCCGCGTCTCCGGACCATCACCTTCACGAAGCTTCGCAGCAGCGGTGGGGAAGGCCGATTAACGGGGCAGAGGGGGAAGCTGTGAGGGGGAATGGTGGGGAAGGAAAGGGGCCGGGGGGAGCAGCGGAGCCGGCAGGGGAGATGCGCGCATCAGCACGAGGGGGTCGCGTGGGGAGCGGAGAAGTGGCGGTGTCTAGTTGGGCGGAGAGACAGGCAGGGGCTGCGGTGGTGGAGGGGGGTTACGCGCGGAGCGAGGGCGGGGAGAGTAGAAGGTCGGCGGTGGATGAAGCAGCGGAGGCATGGACGGGGAGCAGCAAGGGCGCGCGGCGAGGGCGCGGCGCGTGCAGGGAGAGTGAGAGCGATAGCGAAATCGTGAAGATGCGACAAGAGGTGAGACACAGATAGTAGCTCCTTTTCGCCTCTCTTTCCCATCATTCCTCTCAGCTCACCTGCTGTTCCTGCACGCCGTCTGTCTCCCACCTTCCCATCCTCGGCCATCTCTCTGCGTGCCTGCAAGGACTCACTCCCATGTGTGCTCTGTGCCACCTGCTCCTCCTTCCCCCCTTCTCCCCAACCCCCTCCCTCTCCCCCCGTGCCCCCAGCTGCACGAGGCGCGGTGCATGGTGCAGCAGCTGCACGCGGAGGTGGACATGGCGCGCGCAGCAGCAGCGGAGGCGGTGGCGCTGGCAGCAGCGGCGCAGGGCGAGAGGGAGATGCTGCAGTACGAGTTCCGCGAGTACTCGCTGCACCACCTGCACGCCGCCACGGACGGCTTCAGTGAGCAGCGCCTCATCGGGCAGGGCTCCAGTGGGCGCGTGTACCGCGGGGAGATCAACCACACGCCCGTGGCCATTCGGCGACTTGATGACTCCCTTGACTCTGCGCTGCATGAGTTTGACAAGGAGGTGCGCTGCTGCTCTGCCCACCACGCCTATGCTGCTCTGCTCGCAGCGCAGTGCACCGCGTTGCTGGTCCTTGAACCCCTCAGCACCTCATTCTTCCTTCGCGCACTGCCACACGTGCGTGCTCATCTGCCACAACCTCCGTGCGTCCTTCCCCTGCCCCCCGCCGACACACCACCCCTCAACCCACGTGTGTATCTATGCACAGGTGCGGCTGGGCAGCAGGTTGCGGCACCCCAACATAGTGCTGCTGCTGGGGTGCTGTCGCTCGCCCCCGTGCCTGGTGTACGAGCTCATGCCCAGTGGCTCGCTCTACCACCGCCTGCTCTGCACCAACAACTCGCCCCCGCTGCTCTGGCACCAGCGCTTTGACATCGCTGCCAACATCGCTGCTGCGCTCGCCCACCTGCACTGCCGGTACCCAACCCATGCCACTCTTGCTCGCTGCTCACATGCCCCATTGACGCCCCATCGTCCATGCTTGTTCAGTCCATTCCACCCGCCTGCATTGCCTGCGTTGATCTCCATGCTTCCTGTGATCTCTGCACTGAAATAATCTGGGCGATGCTGATGGTGGCTGCTGGTGCGAGGGGTGTGTGCGTGCATGCAGGGAGCACCCGATAGTGCATTTCGACCTGAAGCCGACAACAGTGCTGCTGGGGCGCCAGCTGGAGGCGAAGATAACAGACGTGGGAGTGGCGCGCATGATGAAGCGCACAGCGGGCGACGACAGCATGTCGGGTCCCATGGACGCCCTGGGCTTCGGCTACGCGTGCCCCGAGCTGCTGCGCTCCAACGCCTTCTGCAGCCGCACCGACGTGTACGCCTTCGGCATGCTGCTCTATGATCTCCTTGGCGCCACTACAAGCGGCGGGCGCGTGAAAGGGCTGATAGCCCAGCTGGATGAGGCCGCTGCAGAGGGTGACCTGGCGTTGCTACACAGCCTCACGGACCCTGCAGCGCGCTGGCCCAGTAAGGTGGCTATGGAGGTGGCGGTGCTGGCGCGGCAGTGCACCGCTGTGAAGCGCCGCGACCGCCCGGATGTTGCGGGCGGCGTGCTGCCCGTGCTGCAGCAGCTGCGCCCGGCCGTGGAGTCGTTCCGCGCCGCGGAGGAGGCGGAGGCGGCGACTCTGGCGCTGCAGCAGCAGCTGGTGCTGCAGCGGCGGCAGGCGCAGATGCAGGGCATGGAGGGGGGTGGCGGCGGTGGTGGTGGTGCAGAGGATGTGGTGTGGGAGGTGGCGCCTAATGCCTTCAGATGCCCCATCACCCTGGTGCGCGCTTGTGCATGATGGCACACTGTAGCAAGCAGCACAGCATGGGCATGGGTGGGGCACTAGGGTAGCACTGTGCTGTAAGAGCAGCACGTATGGTACATGCTTGTCATGTTCCCACCACGCCCACAACCCCCCTCATCCATTGGGGCTGTCATGTCAATGCTAGCATGGCCGCTACAGCTCCATGCCTCATGCGCACACACACACCACAACTCATCACCCTTCCCCCCCTCCACCCCTGCCACTCGTGCCACTGTGGCATATGCGGTGGCAACAGGAGGTGATGCAGTGGCCAGTGGTGGCAGCAGACGGGCACACATACGAGGAGAGCGCGGTGCGCGAGTGGCTGGGCGTGAGCTCGCTGTCCCCCAAGACGCTCATGCCGCTGCCGCACCTGCAGCTCACCCCCAACCACGTGCTGCGCTCGCTCATCTGCGACTGGATGGAGCGCAAGAAGCTGTCAGGCGCCCCCCCGCGCACACCCGATGGCTCCGGTGCGCATGCAGGAGGTGCGGTTCCCGGTGGGTAGGCTCATCTGCGACTGGATGGAGCACAAGCAGCTCGCAGGGGGCCGCCACGCACACCGGATGGGTCCGCTGCACATGCAGGCGGTGCAGTCCCAGGAGGGTAGGCGCTTGCTGGCTTCTTGGGCTGAGAGTGGGTATTAGGGCAAAGGGTGAAGGGTGAAGGTTCAGAGATATGTGGGTGAGTGTTTGGAGGTGACGGCGTCCCGCTGCCTGCATGCGGGCCTGCAAGGAGCGTGAGGGTGGTGTCTGCAGTGCAGTGAGTGCACGCAGTGTGGTTTTACACGCAGAGTGGCTGTACAGTAGGGTGAGCTTCCAAGTTGCAATGAGCACACACACTGCACAGGTCCTACATATACGGTAGGTGCACGGTGGTGCTTCTCTGCTATGGGCACTCTCGAGCAAGAGAGATACCTGTACAACAGTTGGGCAAGCTATGCAGGAATTGACGAAATTATTTATTGGCACTGCAATGGAATGCTTAGTTATGTAAACGTGCAGATAGAACCTGTATTGCTTATAGTAGATTAACTTGGTGCAGCCTGAGGTGAGCTGCTCTACCGCCACACTTCATATTTGACGTTACATAAGGACAATAGATACCGTAGTACCGTATGTACGTCCACCACAAGGGGAATACTGCATGACCTATACCGCTTTTTCATTCGAGGTGGCTTTCACTTCAAAGGATTGATCATATGAATTGGCAACACAACTGGGCATCAAATCGCAATCTGGCCTAGGCAGGTGGGCGCTATGCCTTATGGCTGTAAGCCGTGTGTAGCACATGCAATGCAAGGACCATGAAAACCCCTACACTGCAAAACCTATACCGTAAGACCACTCGTAATGTGATGGGTTGACTTGACACACACCCGCGCTGTTTGATGATGAAATACGAATCGATATACCTTTCTTCAGAACGGCCTTGCAGTGCCGTGTGCAAGGCCCCGTGTCTCCCCAGGTGCAAGTGCTGCCCGGGATCAGTATGAGCGGGTGTGAGTCGTGTGCATGCATGCTGTGTGCTGCCCTGGCACCTCTTCCACGCACGCATGTGCAGCACGGCTAAAAAACTACTGTGGGGGAGTCGCAGGAGAGCGAAAGTGGCGTGGAATGGTGCGGAGGAGAGGGAGATCGGTGGCGGGCAAGAGGTGCAAGCGGGGGAACAGCAAGCGAGGTAGCGGGGCCATGGTGGTGGGAACTCTGTGGTCCTTTGCATGGCTAGCTGGGCGAGTCTGAGTGCGCCTCTGCATCCTCCTCCTCCTCCTCTTCCTCCTGCTCACTGCCCCCATCGCCCTCCTCTGACATCTGTCTCTCCAACGCATCCTGCCCCTCCTCCTCCAACCCCTCCCCACCACACACCCCCTCCTCCTCGCTCTGCCGCTCATCCCCCTGCCCGCCATGCCCACTGCCGCCTGCTCCCCCCTCCCCCCCACCATTGCGTGCAGCCGTTGCGTGCGGGTCCTCCTCGGGATGGCCCAGGGGGGCCGCGGGTGACGGCGACGCCACGTGAGAGGAACACCGTTGGGGCGCCGATGGGTTGGAGGGGGGGTGGGCAGGCGCAGCATGTGCGGCGGGCGAAGGATGGCACATGGGGGCGTGCGCGAGACCGTGCGGTGCACTGGGGTGCTGCGCTGCCATGGGAGCGGCGGGCATGGGCAACGACACGTGGTGCTGCTGGGACGGCGCGGCGGGGGAGGAGAGTGGCCACGGCACCGGCGACGGGGCGGGCGCCCCGCGCGCATGCCCGTGCGCAGGAGGCGTAGTAGTCGCAGTGCCCGCAGCAGCAGCGGCGGCGGCGGCGGCGGCGGCAGCCGGGGAAGGCGAGGAGGAGGGGGGTTGCGGGAGGTGCGTGGTGGGCGAGGGCGAGGCGAGCTTTGCAAGCTCGAGGTGGAATTTCATCTCCATCTCCATGCGCCGCACCTCCATGTCCCTCAGCACCTCCATCTTGCGCGCCTCCTGCTCGCGCTGGAACTCCATGCGCCGCTGCTCCAGGGCCATCAGGTACCGCTGCTTCTCCACCTCCACGCGCGCGTACAGCTCGCCAAAGCTGCTGATCGCCTCTGCTAGGCTGCGCACTGAGTCCTCCCCGGCTCCCACCACCACTGCCGCTGCCGCTGCTGCTGCTGCCTCGCCCACGCCCATCGCCCCCCCTCCCGCCATTGCGTGCCCCATGCCGCCCATGCCCCCCATGGCGCCCTCCTGCGCGCCTGCATCCGCCCCCCCGTTGGGCATGCGCCGGCTGCCCTCATAGCCCCCTCTCCACCGCCGCATGCGCTTCTGCCGCTCCCCCCCCGCCCCTGCCCCTGCTGCCGCCGCGCCCACCCCACTGGGCAATGCAGGTCCCCCTAGGCCCCCCCCGCCGCCCTGCCCTGCCCCTCCCTCCCCCTCCCCTCGCCCATACTGCCCCACGGCCGCTGCTGCATCATCCCCACCGCCCTCTTCCTCCTCCTCCTCTTCCTCATCCTCCTCGTCTTCCTCCTCCTCCCCCTCCGCCCTGCCCTCCCCTCGATTGCACGCCGTTGATCCAGGGCTCTCCCCCACTGCTGCCACGTCACCGCCGCCCTCCGCGCCTGTGCGCGGCCGGCCAGCAAAGGCGGCGGCAGGTGCGCCCGCGGGGAGGAAGGAGGGGGAGAGAAATGCGTCCGCGGAGGCGGGCATCAGCGGGGGCGCACCACCGCCCGCTCCCGCAGCCCCCCCTCCCAGCACCGCCCCCCCTGACGGGCCCCCTTGCCCCGCCAGCCCGCCCAAGCGCACTCCGCCGATCCCCATCCCTCCCGCGCCTCTAACCTCCCCTCCGCCCTCCCCCACGCACTCCCCCTGCCGATCCATTGCGCCCGCCGACCACTTAATGCCGTCGCCATTCGTCACTGGTCCGCCCGCGCCCGCGCACATCATGCTGTTGCGCGCCCCCAAGCCTCCTGCGCCCCCTCTCCCCGCGCCCACCGCTCCCCCCGTGCCTAAATACACGCTGGCGCCCATTCCAGCCCCGGGTAAAACCCCCATGGGCGGGGGGGGGCCGCCAGCGCCAGCAGAGGCCCCCATGGCGCCCCCTCTGCCCGCGCCCCCCATCCCCATGCCCACGGCGGGCAGAGGCGGCATTCCGCTCGCCACAAGCACGCCGTTGCCGCTGCCGCCCCCCCCGAACCGGCCGGCCATGCCGCCCGCCGCAATGTTGTGCAGAAAGTAGGTGCCGTCCGCCGGCGGCATGCCCATCACCGTGCCCATGGCGGACCCGCCCAGCCCCCCTGCTGACATCGCGGCGGCGGCGGGCGCGGAGGCGACGGCGGGGTACACGGGCGTGGCGGGGAGAGTGGCTCCGCCGGAGCTCATCCCGCCGCCCCCGCCCACGCCCGACGACTCCAGATCCTCGCCCATGGCGGCGGCGCTGCTGCCGCCCGTCCCCGCGACGCGCTTGTGCCCGCCGATGAGCTGATCCAGTTTCTTGTAGTGCTCCCACCGGCTGAGCCCGCGCCATCGCAGGCGCTCCGCCTTGTACTTCTTCTTGAGCGAATCCAGCTTCATGCGGCACTGCACCACCGTCTTCGCCGCCTTGCTGCCGCCGCCGCGCGCGTTCACGCGCGACGTGACCTCCTCCCACTGCGCCGCCTTGAGATTGCCCTGGTCCGAGGCTAGATAGTTGTCGCTCCACGCCTCCAGCAGTACCGCCGTCGCCTCGCGGCTCCACTCGCCGCGGCTCCGCAGCTCCCCCAGCGACGCCTTGCCGTCGCCGCCGCTGCTGCCCCCGCCGTTGCCGCCGCCCATGCCGCCCATGCCGTCGCCCTGCGATCCCTCCTCCTCCTCCATCGCCTCCGCATTCCCGCCTGCGCCGCTGCCACCCGCCGTCGCCGCTGCGGACGCCGCCGTGCCGCTGGTATCCTCCAGCGACATGCGGCGCGACTTAACGGCGCGTGGGGTCGCCGTGGTGGCTGGCTTTCAAGAGACGACGACGCGATGTGCGGCCGGGGCGGGAGAGTGCGGCGATGGCGGATGCGCGCGATGCAGGGCGCCAGGCGGAAGGGCAGATGCGCGGATCTCGCACGGGCGGGGCGGAACGGAGCGGGATTTAGGGGTGATGGGCCTCTCAGGGCGGCGCAGAGGTAGGTTCAGGCGCAGGAGAGCGCGGAGAAGAGAGAGACGCGCAGTGCGGAGGGGATACGCGGAGGGCCCGGCATGACTGATGGTGCGGCGACTGCGAGCAGCATGGGAGATTCGGTGGGAGGAGGTAAAGAGCGAGGTGGGTGAGACGTCGCCAGGCAAGCGAGCAGCAAGCACAGGTATGATGGGGAGGGGCAGAGCAATAGCAGCGAAGGGGCGAGCAGGCAAGCACTAGGGGGATGAGCATGTGGAGGGGAGCAGATTTGAGGGAGAGCAAGGGGAAGGGGCGTCGCACAGGCGACTCTTGGATTCAGATTCCCCGTCGCACACTGTAATCGCTAGTCGTATTCTCTGTACGCGTTTGCCAGTCTATAGCAGGTCAATCAGGCTGAGAATCAACATTTTCAGTTTCATAGCCTGCTGGCAACTAAATATTTTTACCTAAACTGCAGCAGAAATGATTGAGGAATTTCACCTAAATCGATGCAAGAAAATGAACGCCTCGAGGAACTCAAAACAGCACATCACTTGTCGCGACCAACATAAAAGTGCCACGTAATGTCTGGGCACCGCGCATAGGTATGGCATGATAAGGTGGTGTTTGAGCTATGGCAATGGCCCATGCAGCAACACAGCTACCTGCAATGGGGCACAGCAGGAAACCAAGAAAAATGAGGCTTTTTACAGACATGTGAGCTGCAAAGCAAACAAGTAGCATGCAGTTACCGTGCGAGGAGCCATGCCCTGATCTCACCTTGCTTGCATCCGTCATACACACCACATCCATTGCCCTCTGCCTCACCGCCACTTCACCATCCACCCTCCCCTCTGCTGTCCCCTCACATGCCTCCCCTCCTGGTGCAGCCTCTGCTGCAGCACGTGGCGCTGGCACGTGCTGCTCCAAGGGCGATGGGGGACACAGCTGAAAGGGCAGCTGCATGGGATCAAAGGACTTGAGAAACTTCATGGAAACAACCAGCTGGTCTGGGTGAAGCACAAGGGAATGCGCGTGCGAAGGCGTTGCAGCAGCCTCCTCCGCCCCCTCACAGCCCTCCAGCACTCGAAGCCTCACTCCACTGGACTGCCTCTCATCACCCTTGCCCTTGCCTTTGCCCTTGCCCTTGCCCTTGCCTTTCTCCTTGCCGCTGCCTTCAGCCCCATTCCCAGCACCATTCCCCCCAGTGTCCGCGCCATGCGCATGCTCCTCCTCCTGCTGCTCGCATGGGAAAGCTGCCAGCCGCAGCACCTGCTGCTGCGCTCCGCTCTCACTCTCCACCTGCACTCCTGCTGAGCTGGGACCAGAGCTTGCTGACGCAGCAACTGCCACGTCAGCGTTGGACTGGATGCATGCGGCAATGAGGGCAGGATCAGGCTGCGCTGTCGGATGCAGTAACACCTGCTCGGGAGAGAATCCAGGGAGGTAAGGCGAGGGGGGATAAGGGGAACAGGGCATAAGTCAAAGCACAACATGTTCTTCGACTTGCAATGGTTTTAGATTGATGTTCATGTAGCATCTCCCACGGCCGGTTCACAACATTCCCCAGCACCATTGATTAGCCCCATGATGCCACGCGCTTCTCATGATGCCACGTGCGTCGAACGACCCCTGTGCCCAGTCCACCCTCACCACCACGCATCTGCACCCCGCCTCTCAGTTTCCCCTCCCCCCATCCCTCCCCCCTGGCTAACCAGCAGGTGTTTGACGCCCTGCTTGGCGAGCCCGCGCAGCACAGCAGCGTCCTTGAGCGCCAGGAACACACCCCCTCCCCCGCCCGACGCCCCCTGCAGTGCCACACTCGCCGCGCTGCTAGCCGCCTCCACTTCCGGCCGTGGTAGGGGGCGGAGAAGCAGGTGGAAGGAGGGCGGGGAGGAGGAGAGGTCGGAGGATGGTGAGGAGGAGGATGGAGGTGGGGTGGATGGCGCGGTGGTGGGCGGGTTGAGCGATAGGAGAGGCCATTGTGTGAGAGGGATCCACGTGGGCTGTGAGGGGGAGAGGGGGTGAACATAGAGGAGAGGCAGGAGGGAGGGCAAGGTGTGGGGGGACGTTTCAGTGGATGGGTGACAGGTGTACCTTGCCCTTTGCGCGGCACACACCCTGGTGATGCCGCACTAACTGGCTGACAACCCAATGGTAGGCAGAAATGAAAAACATAGCGAAAGACATGGGGGGGGGGCGCCAAGGAGGGAGAGATCGCAGGAGGGAGGGTGAATTGGGGAGAGAAGGAAGGAGGCGGGGAGGAGGCAGGGCATGGCATGGCATGGCAGACCTGTGATGGTGCAGTGGCGTCGAGCAGCGACTGGTGCAGAGGGAGGGGTGATGCTGTCTCATCCACCACGAGCAGCCATGGCAGGGCGGCCGACCCCTGCTCTCACACACCACGGCAAGGAGACGAGTTGAGGCGTGGTGAGGCAAGGCGCAGGGATGGGGCAGGGAAAAGGGTGCATGGGAAAACTTGTGGAGGAGTGTGGCATGTGCAGGGCACTCACCGCCCGCTCCCTCCACGCGTCCACGGCGCCCATCTGCCTCCTCAGCCGCGCCATGTCTCGCCGCACGTACTCCTCCACACGCCGTGCCATGCCCGCTGCTCCCCCCCCTGCGCCACTGCCGCTCCCCTCCCTCACCGCGTCGGCAGCAGTAGCAGCCCCCAACAGCGCCACCACCGCCACTGCACCCTCTTCCACCGCCCGCCTGCCCTCGCTCTCCATACCCTCCGCCACGCCCGCCCCCTCACTGCTGCCTCCCCCGCCCAGCAGCGCCACCTCACCACCTGAGCGCGGCAGGAGGAGCGGCCAGTGGGGTAGAGGCACGGGCGAGGGCAGGGGTTGCAGGGTATGAGCGCGTGGAGTGAGGGCGGAGCGCACGGCATGAGAGACACGCCTGAGGTCCACTGACAGTAGCTGCTGCAGCGCTGCATCCACATCCACGTGCCCCTGCATGTGTCCCTGCACTTGCGCACTCCCTGCCCCTTCCTCGCCAGTCTCTGCCTCGGCTGCAGTCTTCTCCATGCGCAGGGCCGCTTGCACCCAGTCCAGCACGTGCTGCTGCCCCGCCTGCCCGTACCGCTCCTCCACCTGCCGCCTCCTCTGCTGCCGCTTCTTGCGCTCCCGGGCGGACTAAAGCGGGGAGTGGGGGTTGTTGAGGGGAAGGAAGGGCAGGAGAGATTGCGACTGGCGGAAGGGCTTTTGCTGGGGGAGACAGGCAGCGTGGAAGAGGGAGACGGTGGAAGAAAGGAGGGAGGCGGGCGTCGGAGGGGGTGTGGCAAAGCACAGTATGTGATACATAGCAGAAGGCTGAGAGTGTGCTGGCACAGCACGTGCGCACTGACCATGCCCTTGCGCCCGCCCTCCTCGCCCTCTTCTTCCGGCGCCCGCTCTGCCTTGGCAGCAGGACGTTGGTTGAGGTCCAGCAGGCCAGGGGGAGGGTCCACCACGAGGTGCCGCTGCTTTAGGTTAACCTCGGGCACAATGGCACGCACAAACGGCACCCACACGCACGGCCCCCCGCCACTCGCGCTCCCCTTTTTGCCACCGCCCCCCTTGCCCTGCTTTTTCTTCCCCTTGCCCTGCCCCTTTGCCCTCCTCCCTGCCTCTCCCCCCGCCGCCCCCTGTGGCCCTTCCACCGGCTCCTCCCGTGTGTGCAGGCGCACGCGCAGCAGCTCCCCCGCGCCCCCTCCGCTGTACACGTCCTCCACCACGCCTATGGCCGCCCCGCCCTCCTGCACACGCAGCGAGGGGGGAGAAGGCGAGGGGTAAAGTAAGAATGGGGGAGCTGAGCAGCGCACGGGCGGGGATGCAGGGGAAGGGGAGGCGGTGTGACAAGTGCAGGGCGGGCGGGAGGGAGGAAAGGCTCAAGGAGAGGGGAAGTGGGGTGCGATGGGGAGGCAGCGCAGGCAGAGAGGGACCTTGAGCATGACGGTGAGGCGGATGAGGTCACTGGAGTACACCTCGTCCTCTGCCAGCTCTGGGCGGTCCCTCTCCCTCACCATCATCACACTGCCCCGTAGCGCCTCCGCCTGCCATGCCATGACACATCATCCCATGTCATCCCGTCCCGTGCCATGCCATGTCAATCCAGCAACACGGCAGCAGAGAGGAAAGAGAGCATGTTGATTAGGGAGGAGGGACAGCGATGACACCATGCAAGGGTTGGCAAGCAACGAGACATGGAGGGCATCGAGATGTGAGCCGTACATGCCATCCCCACGCACACACTGCCATAGAACCCCCAGCATCACCCCAGCGACACCCCAGAAACACAGCCGCACTGCCCCATGCATGCACCGTAGCACCCGTCAGTGCACCCCAGCATGCGCACCGCACCTGCTCCGCGCTCTCCACGCCCTTGAGCCGCACCAGCCACAGCCCATACCGCCCAGGGCCTGGCCGCCCGCCCCTCACCCACACGCGCCTCATGCCCGCCCCGCGCTGCTCCGCCGCTGCCGCCTCCCCTGCCGTCTTCCCTGCTGCTGCCTCCGCTGCTGCCTCCCCTGCTGCGCCTGCTGCTGGTGGCGGCGGCGCAGCAGCGGGCGCAGCAGCATGGGAGGGCGCGGACGGCCTGCCTGGGCGCTTCAACCAGCGCCAGCCGCCCTGCAGTGCCGCCACAACCGTAACAAGAGTGAAGGGGGGAAACGGGGGGGTAGAGGAGACGCAGTGCACGGGGTAGAAAAGGTGGAGAGGGGAGAGGGGAGAAGGGGAGAGGAGGAGGGGGAGGGAAGAGATGGGGCAAAGATGGTAGTGAATGGCCATTTGCTGAGCTGAAACGGGTGCCATTCCATGCACTCACGCGCACATGGCGTGTGGTAACCACATGCGTTCCCCCCAGCGCTTTCCGCCAGCATGCGCCACGCGCACCTGTCCAAAGCGCTGCTCCGGGAAGTCCGTGAGCGGCTTCACGCGCAGCTCGCCGCGCAGCCCGTGCGCGCCCACTATCACCCCCACCTCCACGCCCTCCCCCTCCCACTCCGGCCCCTCTCCGCTCTCCCCCTCCTCCTCCGCCTGGTCGTCGTCCCAGTACTCATCCCAGTCCTCCTCCTCATCCCACTCTTCCTCGTAATCCTCCTCCTCCTCTTCCTCCTCTTCCTCCTCTTCCTCCTCTTTCTCTCCCTCGCCTTCGCTCATCTCCTCAACTCCATCCTCCGCCTCCCCTTCCTCTTTCCCCGAGTGCTCGCCTGCTCTCCGCGTCTCCCCCTCCGCCCGTACCCTGTCCCACGCCAAACCCCCCCCATCACCCAGCGCCTCCACGGCAGTGCATGGCGCAAGCCGTCGCTTGGTCCCCCACTGGGATCCATGGGGAGGCTTGGCGCGCAGCCCCGTGGATAGAGCTGCGCAGTACTTGGCCGGCCATTTGCTGGAAGCGGCCCGGCAGGCGCGGAGGCGAGGTGTGAAATCAAATGTTACGCGGGGCGCGTGTGACGCCACGTGGTGAAGCTGCGCTGGCAGCGGTGTGTGTGCGAGGATATGCGACAAGGCCATCTGATGGCAGTGCGACAGGAATGGACGGCCTCGCCTGGCTACTGGAAAAACACCAGCTTTTGAGGGGTTTGTATACGCGACATTAGCTGGCCAATGGAACTGTAGTCCTAAGAACTGGACTGTTCTTGCACTCGATGGTTCAACAATTTGTAAGGCAAGCACTGCATCTCGTCGTTAATCTGGTTTTGTAACCAGCGACTGCTTTTCGGCTTCGCACAATCGCCAAATTCTCATCGCAGGCTCGCAGGAATGTCACACTGCCTGGACCTGCTGCTTATTTCCTCCGCTCGCCTCGTGTTCTCTAATCTCCTCCGATCCCCTCGATCCCAAACTTAGGATTGACGGGCTGCTTTCTTCATTTAGGCCTGTCTCTGACACCTTACCTCGCGTACCGCGTCAGGGCTGGGACTCCAGTAAGAAGTAACAGGAATTCGCCTCACATCTGCGGGCGTTCGATCTCGTTGTGTTGACACACAGCCTCGCCGAATCTCAGGTCCGGATCTTGTCCACAGCCTCGTAACGTGCAGTTCAGGCGTCAGTTGCCAGTTATTCCCCGCTTCATGAATCTGCTTGTCGCATGTCGATTGGCGCGTCAGCCCGCGTGGCGGCCATGAGTCGGGTCTAGATTCGTTGTTTTCATGCCGATTGCTCTCCCTTGGCCGTGCGCCATGACGCTCAGCATCACCTAGGTCACGCCACAGGAGGCGGTCACTGTGTCACTGACTTGATTGTGATATGTCTATAGTCATGGATTAAAAAAAAACAAAAGCATTCGGGAGCACCCGTGCCTGTCAGTGCATGGCGTCGTTTGTCCATCGTCCTGCGTGCGTCGCATCTGTATATAAAATTCCCCGTCACACTATTTCGCGGCCACTCGTCGCGCCACGTCTCCCCCATCCCACCTCTTCTACACACCATCCCGCTCACCCTCCACGTCCGCACAGCGACCTCAGGCCTTCGCTCCGCCACCCGTGCACGTGCGCGCAGGTTGACAGGCGGCGGGCATGGCGCGCTACGACCGCGCGATCACGGTGTTTTCCCCGGACGGGCACCTGTTCCAGGTGGAGTACGCCACGGAGGCCGTGTCCAAGGGCACCACGGCCGTCGGCGTGCGCGGCACGCACACGCTCGTGCTGGGCGTCGAGAAGAAATCCACCGCCAAGCTGCAAGACGCGCGGTGAGATGGGGCGCCGTGTGGAGGTGGGGTGGGAGGGAGGAGGGGTGCGGTTGGTTGTGGTGAGATTGAGCATGGTGAGATGGGGCGCTGGGTCCGGATAGGACGGCGCGCGTGAGATGGGTCACCGTGGAACTGTTTGCGTCTCCTCACAGGCCCTGTCGTCTCTCCGCCGCTTCCCTTCCCCCATCTCCCCATCCCCTCCACCCCCCACCCAACCCCCCCAATCCCTTCCCCCTCGCAGCACGGTGCGCAAGATCCACCGGCTGGACTCGCACGTGGCGCTGGCGTTCGCGGGGCTGACAGCGGATGCGCGTGTGCTGGTGAACCGTGCGCGCGTGGAGTGCCAGAGCCACCGCCTCACTGTGGAGGACCCTGTCACCGTGGAGTACATTGCTCGCTACATCGCTGGCGTGCAGCAACGCTACACCCAGGTGTGAATGCCCCTCGCGGACAATACTCGCGCACATGCATGCCGCCATGTCAACGGTGCTGGGCTGATACTGGCACATGGGCCAGTTATCTGTTTCTGCTCCCCATGCAGAACTGCATGTTTTGAATGTTAGTTGCATGACTCTCCTCCCTGTCATGGATTGTTCTGCCTGTCCGCCCATCCTCTCTCCCCCCCGGCCCTGCGGCTGCGTCCAGAGCGGAGGCGTGCGGCCATTTGGCATCTCGACGCTCATCATCGGGTTTGACCCGCACACAGGCCGCCCATCGCTGTTCCAGACGGACCCTGCAGGCACGTTCACAGAGTGGAAGGCAAACGCGACGGGGCGCAACAGCAAGACAGTGAGGGAGTACCTGGAGAAGAACTACAGCGAGACAGATGGCGACGAAACTGTCAAGCTTGCCGTTAAGGCCTTGCTCGAGGTCAGTGCTGTGCATCTCCGTGCCATGCCATGTCATTCGGTGCCATGAGATCCAAGAGTTCATCAGTGGAGGTTTCTGTCCCCTGTTTCAGTGCGCTAATTGCTGGCAGTGTTCTTCCTTTGCGAGCTCGTGTACATTGGCTTCGTTCGGCGGCTGTTTTGTTGTCTAAATGAGTTGGCTGTGCGTGTGCAGGTGGTGGAGAGTGGTGGCAAGAACATTGAGGTGGCAGTGATGACTCGTGACAAGGGTCTGCGCATTCTGGCAGAGAGCGAGGTGGAGGTGATAGTGGCGGATATAGAGGCGGAGAAGGCTGCAGCGGAGGAGGCAAAGAAAGCAGGCAGGGGTGAGCAGCGGACGGCCTCGTAGGACAGCAGGGCTTGATGAGGGGTGGTTCTGGTGCGAGATTCGGATTGAGTAGCATTTGATGTGGATCGGTGCATGTGTGTTTGCATCGACATCTGGCCTGTTATGAACGAATGTATTCCATTCACAACGCAGAAAATTGCCTAATCCTGATCAGGAGTTGGGTCTCCAACTTTCTCTGAATGTTCTTCGAATGAGGAGGGTATACTTTGCAGCTTATTTCAACACAATAGATGAACGAGTCATTCACTTCCAATCGCTAGGGAGGAAAACAACTGCTCTTATGTACATGCTTCTCCCTCTGGAGGGACGTAAACAGCACTTAGGTGGTGTGGTGACCTATAGGTACTACATGGCACTTTGTGGGTGACATAACCTAGCCCTATTAAACATCTTCAAGCGTGCTGTTGTGTCTCAGGCCTCAGCTCTTGAGATCCACATTACACCTGTGTATGATACCATCATTTGCTGTCACATATGCCAACCAGTATGGTCTGAAGTGCTTCATTGCAGTATCCAGCCATGGTTTCTGCAGCACAGCAAGAAAACCAAAAGCAGTACACGGGATAAGGCACAAGACTCGGACACAGGAGCCAGTAAATGAAAGACATGCTGAGAGCTGGAATGACATGAGGTTGCAAGAGCCCATCTCACCCAGTTGCCATTGTAGTGCACAACAGCAGCCTTCTCCACGTCCTCCAGGGGCACGTCCTTGTTGTACCCCAGGCCCAGCACATGCCAGTGCGCGTCCAGCACCTGCGTGCGGTTGTAGAACGTCATTAGCCCCGGGGGCAGCGTCCCCAGCTGCCACAGTGACCGATCCGCATTCTGTAGTGCGCAACCATGGTGCCCATGGGGAAACAAAGGGCGAGGAACGCAGACGTGAGAAGAGGGGTCAGACGTGACGGGCGTGATCAGGGCACTGATCAACGTCAATCATAGATCCAACAACCCTTCCCATCAATTAACACCGCATTCCCGCATGTTACCCCGAACGCACCATGGTCTGGAACTTGTGGTAGACAGCAGTGAGATTGTGGAGCCGCCACGCGTGCAGGTCAAACACGTTCATGCCGTAGGCCCAGCCGCAGGCGTTGGGGTCGAAGTGCGCCTTGATGTAGGGGTGTGAGAAGTTGAGGTACTTGAAGAGGCGGTGGAAGTCGCCCACACACGTGAAGACCGCGCCATTCACGTTGCCGTGGAGCGGCAGTGTGAAGAGCGGCACGAGGTCCCTCTGCACCACGATATCATCGTCCAGGAACACCACTCGGTTGAGCGTGGGGTACATCTGGTGTGTGCGTACATGGATAGGTCATTGGGGAGACAAAGAGGGGATTGTGGTTTGTAGGTGGAGGTGACACACCACTGGAGTGCCGAACGCAGGCAGGGCAAGTAAGGCTTGGACGCACCTCAGGAAGGTAGAAGCGCAGGTGGTTGAGCATGGAGAGGTACTTGGGGTTCTTGAACTTGAGCTGCGTCGGACCTGCTGTTGCCTCCGCAGACGCCTCTCCTGTCACGCGCTTCTTGTCTGCACATCAGCGAAGCACAGGCATTACAGCAGTGCTGTCATTGTCCGCGTAGAACGCAGGCGCACGTACTTGTATGCCATCACACCATCATAGCAGTTGCTGCAGACGTGCATGCCATTCCTCTCTACATTGGTAGCGTGCACAGAGCAGTGTCTGACCTTCAGCAGCCTGCTGCGAGAAGTAGAAGGCCTTGAGGCTTGTCGCCTGCAGCTGCTGCAGCACGGGGCAGTAGGAGGCGTTGAGGAAGGAGTAGTGCTCCACGGCCTTGATCTCCAGAGCCATCTTGCCTGGCGGGTGCAGTGCGAACCACGCTCGCATGGCTGGCAGATTCATCTCGTCCGTCACCACGTGGAACACATGCCTGCCACAGAAACGGGTACGCGTAAGACGCCGGTGTGCAGAAACATAACAAATTGCAACTGACAAGCAGCCATGCACGTATGCTCGTGCACCGCCATTTGAAGCCCGACAACAGCATGTCAGGCAGGCGAGTGCTGCAAGTGAGAGTGAATGTGCGTGTTGCTTCACAACTTACTTTTCTGGGTTTTTGGCGTTTTGCAGAGTGGAGTTGACGACAACAGACACGGCAAGCACGTTATCTGAGAAGAGTGCGTAGTGGTACAGCGACGGGTCCTCGAACCTCCTCGCCTGCTGGCTCTCTCGCGCCCTAGTGACCTCCTTGATGTGCTCGTTGCTACCATACGCCTGCCACACGATCGCCACGCAAATCAGGAAATTTCGAAGCAAGGATTTTGAGGAAGGATTAGATGGGAACTACGGCAGCTAGGCAAGCAAGTCACCGACGAATCTGCGCGGTCACAGGTGTGGTGAGGTGGATAGATGGAAACAGGGGGGATTAGGGATGGGGCTCACCACGGCGAGTCTAAGGTTGAGGCAGTGCAGCGCTTTAGGGAGCGCCTTGGCGGCAGCGAGATCCAGCTTGTTGCGCTCCTTGCTCACGGCTTTCAGCTTCGACTTCATTTTATCCACGTCGCCTCTCAGCCGTTCGATCAGCGTCAGCGTGCTACGCCACTCCTGAGCGCGCGCCCTCAGCGATTCCAGCAGCTTGATCACCCCAATCGCCTTCTCCTCGCCGCCCCACACCCGCGCGCCCTTCCATGCCTCCACGAGCGGCTCCGCGCGCTCTAGCGCGGCGCGCACGTGCTTGACGAGCTGCGCGTTGCCGCGCCTCGCGGCTTCCGGCAGCACAGCGGCGACCTGCGTCACGAGATCCGTCATCATGATCATGTACGACTCGCGCTTCGCCTCCGGCACCTGATCCGCCACCGCCGCTACTGCCACGCCACTGCCCTTCAGTGCCGTCGTCGCGCGACCCGTCGCCACTGTGTGCCGCTCGCCTTCATTCGGTTCCGCCGTGTCTTGTCGTTTCTGCTTCGTAACCCCATTCGCCTCGCCCGGCGACCCGCGCTGCGGCAAGGAGAGCGAGGAGCTCTCTGACTCTTCCTCCACCACGACCTTTCTTCCATCATCCTTCCCATCCTCGTGTCGCGTCGGCGACGATGCTTCTTCGACGTCACTCATCGCAGAGCTTCCTTCGTCGCTGGCAATCTCGTCCGTATCATCTGTTTCCTGCTTCACAGCCGCCTTCGCGGCCTCAGATACGTCCGCCTGCTTCGGAAAGCCTCCCCGAGGCTCTGAGAGGCTGACCACCTCCTCTATCTGAAGAACTCCCGCGCGCGGTTGCACTCGCTCTGCTGCAATGCGTGCTGTTGGACCGCCATCCTGGATTGGAGGAAGATTCTTATAGCGTGAGTATTGGCGATTATGGCGGTGCTGCATGGCGGTGAAAGCGAACTGGATGAACCAGCAAAAACGAACTAACCTCTGAACCGGTCGAATACGTCACGACAGTGGTAGCCACGTCTGAGTGGAGAGGGAAACGTGGCGTCAGTGTGAACGTCAAGAGGGATAACGAAGGAGAGGGATACGGATTATGCGAGGATATGATGCTGAAATCTGGAGTTCTGACCTTGAATTGCTGACGGGGAGTTTGAGAAAGTGGCCCAGAGGAACAACGGTATGAGCAGTACGCACGCCATGAGACCACATCCCAGTCGCATGCGTGAGGAGGTGGGGGGAGTGTCTCGAGTAAACGACTTCACCCTGCGGATTGGCACGTCTGACCTGCAGAGAACCACGCAATACAGAGTTTCGCAACTTTCTGTTGACCTTCACTAAACCTCTGCCTAATTGCATAAAAGCTAGTCTCAGCTGCGGGGCGCTGAATTCGGAAACGACAAAACTTCGCTTGCGTAAATCTCCCGAGGCGATCTGGACGATACTCACTTAGTAGGAACAGCCGGATAGTTGGCGGTGGGTGAACCCATCCTCACAGTCTGAGTTCCCATCCGCCGGACACCAGCTCCACTCCTTAATAGAGGAGGCAAAGGTTCACTACGGGAGGTTAGCTGCCATGTACTGGGTGCTGAGTACGGAAGAGCAGGTGATGTATGTTTGAAGGTAGAGGGGTGACCGCAGTCTCCTGGGAATGCCGACTGTCACCCCACTCCCGACTCGAGTTTCGAAGCGACTCCATGATCCGTCGAACCGAGCCCCGCGAGTCCCTCCCTAGTTCCCGACCCAGCCAATCCCAACGCGCTTCTGGGTTGACGTGTCTCGAGTGCGCTTCGGTGAGTCAGAGTGACCCCCTCGGGAATCCGGCACTGCCAGCGGGGCAGGACGTCCTTGGGGTCAGTGGGACGACCTGCCAATAGATTTCAGTGACCAACCAGGCCACCAGCCGAATCCTCTATTTCTGAGGACGTGTACCAATCCCTCCTCTCAGAAGTGAAATAACCGGTTTACTTCGCACAGAATCGCACTCGACTGGATTCTTGAACAAAAATGAATGCTCGTGTGACCCGCTCTCGCACTGACCTCTTTTTGACCGCTCACAACAGCAATGCACCTCAGTAAATCGCTACGAAAGAGCGGCTTCTGGCGAACATCCAATACAATCCACATACCCCCCACAAACCTCGAGGACCACTCTCTTTTCGGAACAAAAGTTGAAAGCTCGTGCAGTACATAAAGAGCAGGAATGTCCAGATGCCTGTAAGGAATTAGAATTCCTTACTGTAGTAAGTTGTTAGCGAGGACATCCCGAGGGTGTCGCGACGAACCTGCGATGCCTATTTCGTCGCACCGAACCACCCCCGAGTCGGCCTCCGCTCCAATCGTGGCCATCACCGAGCCATCCCATCCCGAACCCCCCGCCTAGCTAGGTTTTCCCCTATTTAGGCCTCGCTACTTCATTGTTCAATCATTCTGTAATTTCTCATTCTCGTTATTCGATATCCGCGCACTCTGACAAGTTCATTCATAACACCTGGTATCAGAGCTACTTTCCTAGCCTACCCCGCTTTTTAGAGTGTAATACCCCTCGGGGGGGGGGGGACGAGTAAGGATGCCTTGGGGTCCAGGAGTTGCGTAGGCCGGCCAAGAGAACTAGTTAGTTGCTCTTCGCGGCCATGGTTTTACGGGGCACTCCTTCGGCACCGCCAGATCCTTAGCTCGACGGTCGCGATCGACCATGACCTCCCTCCCCCCGGGCGACGGGCAGCAGTAGCTGTCGCGACATTAAAGTGAGTAATTTCCGCTGCGATTTCCGACGATTTCGGAGCTTGATTCGTGTGGCAGCCTGCGTCAGCGGACCTGCGTCGGCACCTGCACGAACAGCATCGACGTCGTCATCACGAGTGGCAGCTGGCGTTGGCGGATCTGCGTCAACAGTTGCGCGAAGATTTCGGAGTCGTCCCTACGCGGCAAGTGACGTCGATGGCAAGCCGTCATCTTGTGCGCGAGATTCTCGGGAGAATCTTCGGCAGCTGGCGACAACGGGCCTGCGTCAGCATGGGCGACAATTTCGGAGGTTTCTACTGTGAAGAAAAGGGCAGCTCGAAGGACTCGCCAGGCGCAAATGGAGTTTTGCGTCAGAGGATCCCGACGGCTGGAGAGATAGACGCTCAAGCCGCCCGAATTATGCGGGGGTTGAGTTTTATCCCGTCCGACCGGATAGTGCGGCGCTTACCGTACTGGCGGGCGAGTCGTCGACGATTTTCGGCAGAAGTGCTTGTGGACAGACGGGAACTTTGGACCCGCCGACACTTACGGGCTGCAACAGACAACGACGTGGCTAAATCGCACTTAGAAGGAGTGGAGGGCATATCGGGACTGAACACCCGAGAAATACTCGTTTGTTGCTGCGTGCCTGGAGCTGCTTGCCAGCTGTTCGACAGTTTCGAGATCGGTTTCCCCGTTCAAGGAAGCCGTTTTCGGGGACAGCCGCAACAGCCCACGATTAAACGGTGTTCAACGTGCCACCCCGACAATTTCGGAGTGTGGTGCAGGCCGCCGGGACACGCGTGAAGAAACTGCCCAACGGCTAAGCGGGGGTTGAAGAACGTCGTGGGGAGCAGATAAAAGCCGGTGGAACCGATCTGCGGCCCTACTTCGCCCGAACCTCACCATCCCCACCGATTACTGGTTCCGACTCATGCAGTCGACCTTATTCGGATGAATAACGGGGGTGAACACGAGCCTACCCTGCGCTGGTTAAAAGCACCTGGTTTGGTGCCCGTTCGACAGCTGTACAGAAAAGACAAAAAAGGGGAGTTGCGGCACTGTTCTACTCCGACAAAAGCGGGCTGGGTGAAACAGCACGCGAAAAAATCGGGGCGCCGCAGGACAACACTGGTGCAGTTTACAGGTTTCCTCTGACCCGGGCGTCTACACGAGGTGACGGCGCAGCGGCGAAGCTGGGACCGGAAGCTGTGGAATTTTAGTGGCGCGACGGGCACGGTGGGCTGCGAAGCGGTTGGGACTGATTTCCTTTTAACTAAGGCAACCCCGACTCCGATAGTCTTTTCTTCTCTACCGTGGCTGGGGTTCGCGCAGGGCAACACCGACAATACCCCATCCGACAAAAGCGGACGCTGGGTGAACGGCGGAAGTGGAATGTTCGGGGGGTGAAACGACAAAAAAAAATATGAAGCTGAGGGTGTTTCTTCGTTTCTTGGAGTGCGGTTGAGTCGCTGGGGGACTTCGCCTGAAGGGCGCTTTTCGAAGTTGCCTGGCAAGAAACACAGCGGCAAGGATTCCTAGGACCCTTGATGTTTAGACGCACACCTCGGGAAATTCTTCAAAAAAGGGAAGCGTGGGAGCAGTCGTAGCTTCGGGAACTTATCGGCCGGCGACGAGCGATGGGTGAAACATCTGCAAAGCGCTGGTGGGAGAAACAGGGAGTTTTTGTTAAACGACATCGGCGGGAGCAGCTTCGACTACGGAGGTCAACGGCGTTGATGCCTCTAGGTTCCGTGAAATTCGGTCTCGGAAGACCCAGGGCAGTCCCCGGTTCTCGATTTAACCCACATGCTGGGGTCGGGTAAACCGAAGGAAACTGATGGTGACCGAGTGGGCGGCTATAGCACGACCGAAGATTTCGGAGGCGAACTGCAACTGCAACGGCGAATTTTACGGGGTTGTTTTTGAGCGAAATTTTCGGAGTTTTACGTGGGGACTTACAGGTTTACGGCGGGAAGCGCCGACAATTTCGGAAGACTTTTCGGAGTTTTGGTTAAACGCACGCGACATTTACGCAGGGCAACGGCGCGGGAACTACACGGACTTTTCAAGGGGTATGAACGACTTACGACGAACTGGAGGAGGCGGCAGCAACAGTGGAAGGGGGGAGAGACAGCTGTAATTTTTACATCTCTGCCCGGGAGTCATCGGCGGATTGCGACAACATGCTCGGCGAGTATGGACAAACCCGCCGGAGGTGCTGACATCATCTGACACGTCGCCTTCAATCGCCGACTTCGACGACACTCGTAACACTCCTGATTTCACGGCCAGAGGTTTTCAGGACGGTTCCATTCCGACTCTACTAGCGACAAACCCATCCACTCGACCCGCCCACGACAACTGCATTGATTTCAACCACGTCAGGTGCTGCCAGTTGCAACTGCTGCAGATACTGCACGATTCTGGCGACGTGAAGACAAAAAGCTTCAGTTCGAGTACTTGGCAACTTTGGTTTCGGTTTTTGGTCTTCTTCTGCGAGTTCGCCCTCGAAGATTTTATGGGCACGTAATACCTGGTTTCGTCATCAGAATTTCCACACCGACGCAACTTCACCCGGCATTCTTCGCTCAACGGCTTTCTTCGTGGGACTTAACACCTGGATTTTGTGTGTTTTCATCTCGGCGCAGCTGCGGGAACTTTTCTGGTGCCATTTTCTTGGAGGGGGGGAGAAAGTGCTTTGCACTGTTTTCTTCCTTGGCGTTTTCTTGGTCCTTTTCTGACTTTGTCAGGTTGCGTCAGCACGACGGACGATTGCGATCGCACCGACACAATCTACGGTTCCTGCTCAATCGCGTTTGAATTCGCGTCAGCTGGTTCCCTCCACATCCGCGTCACCGTCAACCGTCAGATCGACATTTGAAATCATCAGCGGTCAACGCGAGCTCTGACCGTCCGATCAACATCTGCTCGATCAACGGCTCTGTTTCCAACCTTCAATTCGAATTGGTCCACTTCATCTTCGACCGTCAGATCGAGACCTGACTACATCAACGGCCTACATTCCAACTTTTTCAAAAATATCGCCCAAGGGATTTCAGCCGTCGGATTCAGCTGAAAGGGAGATCAACGGCGTACTCATTACGGAAGGCTTCGGTCTACATACAGGGAGGGCTTATTTGGAAGGTGGGAGAGTGTAAGGAATTAGAATTCCTTACTGTAGTAAGTTGTTAGCGAGGACATCCCGAGGGTGTCGCGACGAACCTGCGATGCCTATTTCGTCGCACCGAACCACCCCCGAGTCGGCCTCCGCTCCAATCGTGGCCATCACCGAGCCATCCCATCCCGAACCCCCCGCCTAGCTAGGTTTTCCCCTATTTAGGCCTCGCTACTTCATTGTTCAATCATTCTGTAATTTCTCATTCTCGTTATTCGATATCCGCGCACTCTGACAAGTTCATTCATAACAATGCCCATAACATAGGAATAAGGGTGTGACATATCTCATTGACCAAGGTTTTGATGGGGTTTTAACCTCAAACTGATAGACAGACATTCTTCTAAAAATTGTCAGCAATCGGCATTGGTCCACGTTTAGTATAAATCTGCAAATTGGTCTGGATTTTGGGATCTTCGTTTGGGCATTATTTCTGTATCAAACATCCCGTTTAATTTTATCATTACCATTATATTTCACCTCATAAGACCAGGTACCTAGTATATGCATCGTTATGATAACTAGTAAGTAGTATATACTTCGTCACTACCATAGTGAAATATAGATATCCAGTTATGCTTCACTTCAACATATTTAAGTGCATATGCAGTTTGTCGGCCATTCGGACTATTGTCAGCAATGTTGTGGAGGGGTTCAAAATTTGCTTTCCCGACGGCTGGCCATGGGCCGTCGATTCTTCCTTCTGCAATGACGTGTTCGTTTTTGCCGCTGATCGTGGAATCTGAGGACCCCATCTTAGATTTCCTTCTTTCTAAACATTTCGGCCAAAGGCCTGATTTTTATGAAAACCGTAGCGCATGTGGTGTGTGGATCAGGCCTCAGAGATGCTCTTGTTTAGAGGCGAAATCTTGGAATGCCCTATCACATGCCCCAAGTGTACTGGAGAAAGCATTGACGACCACCAGTCACGCGTGATGTTCGGCAGGACCGAACTGCCATTATGATTGGCTGACCGACATGCGTTCCCTAAGAGCCTTGGGTAGGGGGTTGCCTAGGGCAGTTCGACGGTGTCGCTCCCTGACATGTGCTTTCATTGGGGAGTTGGGTTGAGGGTGGGAATGGGGCTCCGTTCTCGTTCGAAGATCTCGCCCTGAGCCGCTCCCCCCAAAACAAATCTGGTTTCCCCCTTCATTTTCCCGCGCTTCTCCTCGCAAAAGGGAGAGCTTCACAATCACTCATCTCATTCCGCTACAGTGCTGCGCGTTTCACCACAGTGACACCCACACACCCCCCTCGAGGACTTCTTCTCAATAACAGACATACACGTGGCATTCTCTCCCCACCTCCCTCCTCCCCCTCCCGCTCAAGCGCGCGCAATCCTAGATCTCGTCACCCTGTTCCGCTGAATGCAATGGTGCCCTTGCTCCCAAGGTTTTGAGCCTCTCAGGTGCACACTCTCGTGTCAGATCTGCAACATATGGCCCTCGCAAACCTCTATTCACCAGATCACTCGCAGTGAGGTAGCTGAGTGGCCCATTACGCCAGACCAGGCAGCACCATGGCTCCGTCCCAGGAGCAAGCGAAGCCCTTACTTTCATCTTCACTGCCGAATATCCCCGTCGCGTCACCAACTAAGCCGGAAGCCGTCGCCATTCCTGTGAATCGCCGAGTTCTGCCAGATTTTCTGCAGAGCGTCAATCTCAGCCATGTCAAGCTGGGATATCATTATCTCATCACCCATGGCCTTCCTTTGCTGCTCATTCCGCTCTTCGCGTCCGTTGCTGTGGAGATCTTTCGGATGAAGCCCGACGATCTGCTGGAGCTGTGGCAGCATCTGCAGCTGAACCTGGTCAGCGTGGTTGTCTGCTTCGCCGCCATTGTTTTCGGCGCGACGGCATATCTTCTCCTCCGACCACGTCCCGTCTACCTTATGGACTTTGTCTGCTTCAAGCCTCCGGACCACCTCGCGCTCTCACTTTCGGGCGCTCTGGACCACGCGAAGAAGCTGCAGAAGTTCAACGATAAGGCGCTTGAGTTTCAAAACCGGATTTTGGAGAGGGCGGGACTTGGAGATCGCACGTGCCTCCCGCCCAGCTTCATTAACATTCCTCCCAACCCGTCCCTGGACATGGCGCGCAAGGAGGCGGAGATGGTGATCTTCGGCTCGCTTGACGAGCTCTTCACCAAGACGGGCATCCGGCCCCGCGACGTGGGTATCCTCATCGTCAACTGCAGTGTCTTCTGCCCCACGCCGTCGCTGTCGGCCATGATCGTCAACAAGTACGAGATGCGCAGCAACATCCGGTCGTACAACCTCGGCGGCATGGGGTGCAGCGCCGGTGTCATCTCCATTGATCTCGCCCGCGACTTGCTGCAGGTGCACGGCGGCTCGTACGCCGTGGTCGTGTCCACGGAGAACATGACTCAGAATCTCTATTTCGGCAACAAGAAATCCATGCTCATTCCCAACTGCATCTTCCGGATCGGCGCAGCGGCCATGCTCCTCACGAACAAGCGCAGCGAGCGCCGCCGGTCCAAGTACGAGCTGGTGCACTGCGTGCGCACGCACATGGGCGCGGACGAGAAGTGCTACCGATGCGTCTTCCAGGAGGAGGACGACGAGAACATCGTCGGCGTGTCGCTGTCGCGCGATCTCATGGCCGTCGCAGGCGACGCGCTCAAGGCCAACATCACGACGCTGGGCCCGCTGGTGCTGCCGCTGTCGGAGCAGCTGCTCTTCTTCATGGTGCTGGTGGGGCGCAAGGTGTTCCGCATGAAGATCAAGCCCTACATTCCCGACTTCAAGCTCGCCTTCGACCACTTCTGCATCCACGCCGGCGGTCGCGCGGTACTGGACGAGCTGGAGAAGAACCTGCAGCTGTCGCAGTGGCACATCGAGCCGTCGCGCATGACGCTGTACCGCTTCGGCAACACCTCCTCCTCCTCCATTTGGTACGAGCTCTCCTACGCCGAAGCCAAGGGCCGCGTCAGGCGCGGCGATCGCGTGTGGCAGATCGCGTTCGGCAGCGGGTTCAAGTGCAACAGCGCGGTGTGGCGCGCACTTCGCCGGATCAAGCCGGAAGACAACTTGGGCCCGTGGGACGACTGCATCCACGAGATGCCCGCGCAACTAAACTTCGTCGACTGAGATGCTCCTGCTCGCCGCTCTTCCTTCGCCCCCTTGGCCTTCTCCCACCCCAATTCCAGTTTGCTCTTATCCCTCGCTGTTCATAGCTCCCAGCAGTGCCGTAATGACGTGGCGAGCTTGATTGGGGTCGCGGCTATGGAAGGTCCAGTCGGCGGCCACCAACTGCCCGTCTTATATGGTGAGGGATCGAGGAGCAGGGTATCGTATGGCTTTCTTTTAGGATAGGACCTGGGTTAAAACCCGTTCTCGGCTTTCTGAGTGTGTCAATGAAACTCCCTGTCGGGCTGGCTATATTTTAATCTGTTTTTCTTCCATCAAGTGTTCTTTTCCCCGTTGGCAAGCAAGAAAGAGTGCCTGGATTATAAGAACCAAACCACCCAATTGAATCACATACTACCCACATTGAGCTGTCAGACACCAAGCGTTCTCGTTCTTCTCTCACGTCCATCTCAAAATCGTCCCTCTTCTACCCCATGTCCGCCGTCCTCCCCTGCGTCTCTGTTATTGAGTCCAGTTTTCGACCTCTCCTTCTGCCTAACCTTCTGTCTCCTCTCCGCCAGTCACGATCTCACTTGTCTTCCTATCCATGTCCCTCCACCCATCGCTTCTTGTATCTCTTCCTACTCGTTCAAGTGATTCATCTCTGTTTACTCTATTAATGTCCATCCACCTTCTAGACACTCCCCTCTCCACCCCAATCTACCGCCGCCCACTTTCCGCAATCTCCTCTCCAATCCCCACTGTCAGCTTTCTCCTGGTATCTCTTGCACTTCTTCTTCGTCCATCAACCAACCTCGCCCTTGTTACTCCCGTTCCCTCTTCTCACCCTCTATCTGCTCCCGTTGTTCTCGCTACGTTTTCTTCCCCTTTCCACTCTCTTGTTCCTGTCCTCGCAAATAGCCCTAAGCCGTCCTGCCATACGCAGTCACGAAATCATAAGACTGGGTCGGTTTTTGTTGGATTTTGTTACTGACGAAATCCTTTATGGGGCCAAGGTCTAGCTCAAAGAGCCCATATTACACAACCCCTCCAAGGCTAGACTGCTTATCTTAGAATTGAGAAGTGCAGGTCAATGACTTCATCTGATACCCAAAACACTGGTGAAAAGTGTTTCTGTAGCCTCTTTGCGCCAAAGTGCCAGCCAGATTGGTACAACATCAGAAACCCTCACTCTTCCGCACCCGATGAAGCTAAGTTGTGTGTTGCATAGCACGCTTAGATGGATACATCAGAGCTTTTAGTACGGTCAATCAACCACATTAACTCAGCAAACACCACACCATCTCAGGCTCCTCATCTGCCACGTGAATGTGATTCAAAACTACAATATTGACCCACCAAGACAGCCCTGCCTATCGCTCTAGCCAGATATGTCATCGGCATGATTTTCCTCTCGAATAGGTGGCTTGTTTTATGTACATCCTTGACTCTGACAGCATCAAGTGCAGTAAACGATTCCTTAATTCGCAGACCACTGCACACACCTCAACGTACGACAAATGTCTCACGCATTATAAACTAAGAGTAGTACTTCACCCGCTCCCGCACCATCGTCTAGATCACCCCGCCCTCCCGCGCCTCAACCACATGGTTCAGCATGATCTTGTCTCTGGTCTTCTGTTGTCACTCCCCACTCTCCCTCTCTCGTTTGCAAAGCAGTCCACCCTTCTTGTTGCGGCCAGGCAACGCGCCACCCTCCACCACTCCTCGTTTCCTCTCACCACTTCGCCTCTTCAAGCCTTACACATAGACGTATGGGGCTCTTCCCACATCCCTGGGCTATGTCGGGAGCGCTACGTCTTGGTTTGTGTGGTCTTGCTGCACCACGCGAGCAGAAGGCTGACGCCAGGCACGTCAAAGTACCCCCTTTCCCTGAGCGAGAGTGGGTACTTCTCTACCCCCCTTCCCTGAGACTTAGTAGTTTAGAGCGGGGGTGTAGTATGGCAACCATTAGTGTAAACATTCATTCATCAGATTAATTACTCACCAGATGTATTTCCCCACTGTAAATGCTATTGCAAGTGGGGTCATTCAATCTCTTGTGGGTCCGAAACGAAGCCATTCCCATCCCAAGCCCCGTGACACACACTCGAACCAGGGGCCAACATCATAGACATGCAACTTAGTCTGGTAACCCTATGCAATGGTATGCAAAACCGTCTTACCTCAGTTTTGGAGTTATTGACAAGCTGTCCTAAACACGCGTTCGTGTTTAATTTTAGACTTATGATTACCGCGTTTGACTTCGCACTAAGACGTGATTTTTTCGGGCCAATAAAAAAAATAATAAAACCCAATCGGAAAGGATGCGTTAGGGAGGCATCAAATCTAAAATTATGTAATTTCCCGTGTTTAGGGTTGATCCCTCCCAGAAATGCGTCCAGGTCGCTAGGGGTTTTATTGTTTTTCAGCCCTGCCCTAACAAATACAGGTAGCAATATATTGGTGGCAATATATTCTTTCAAAATGGACCCCGTGTAGTTTCATTCCAATGGATTTTTTCGAAAAATGTGTCGGGCGCATTTAGCGGAAAATAGTAGCCCGGAGGAAAATTTGTTAGGCGCCGAACGGGGCGCGGTAAGAACCACGAAGATACGAAATCGAAAACGCAACCGATTTTTTCCTTTATTGTGCTGCGTCAGCTGTTACACAGTGTTTTGAGTGGCGGAACCAGACAAACTTGCGCAGCAGAACTGGGGTATCGACGGTTTTGCATACAATCGAATAGGGTTACCATACTATATTGCATGTCTATGATGTTGGCCCCTCAAACCAGGCTGGACGGAAATCTCTTGGGAGTCGAGGCGACACGGAATGAAGTTGGGGGCTTTTCCCGAGTTTCGCATCTGGTATGGTTGATTTTTGCCTTGGCAGCCAATCATGAGGGGCCTTTGTGGTTCGGACTAACCAGCTGATTTTCTCGGCTGACAAGGATGTCATCTAGGTTCAGCTGAAAGCACAGGCATTTGGCGCGAGCATCTCCAGGTCAAACCCATCACCTCACTCCACCCTAACCCGAAGCACTTGATTTCGTGGCTCGGCAGCAAGATGCGATGGACAAGCCAAGTGCGGGACATCGAAGTTTCGTAGTTCTCAAGTTCACGGCACTGGCACAACCCTGGGTTTGACGGCTTCATCAAGCAGCCGGGCAGATTAACACCAGAACGCAAAACATATCTGTACCCATCAATGCGTGAAAGAGCAAACTCTCATTTCAAGAAACTGAACAGTTCCTTTATTTTCTGACCGAGAGACTTCTTTCCCTCCTTCCACAAGGCAAACCGTAGTCGTCCCCTTTCAGGCAACCCCACCAAGGACTCATGCAGTAGCAACAGCCAGTCTTCCTTACAAAAGAGCTCTCTCAAGGCAGCCAGAAAGTTGTAAAGCTGCACATTTTCAACCCTCATTGTCAATAAACGAGCTCGTCCGGGCATTTCAGGTTCTTCAACGGGAACACATCCATTTTCTTGGCATACCATGGAGGCGGCAATCGCAGAGGCGGACAGACAGCTGGCCGAGTTGCTGCAGCTGCAGCAGGTTCAACAGAAGCAAGACCTCATGCGGCTCTCAGAAGCTCACGCTGTGTCTAACGCGGATGCCGCGTTCCGCAGGTGCGCTCGAGACCGTGGTCCCTCTTCCCCTTCCTTCCTGCCTCGCTCTGTCATTCCACACGTGCTCCCTTCTTGACACCTTGTTTACCCCCCCTTGAATCTCGTCCCACTATGTAGTCCTAATCCTTCTCGAGGATTCTTTTTCATGCTGCAGGGGCCTGGAAGAGCTGATCCAGGACCACCTTAACACGTGTTTGGCCCTTGCCAACTGCGGCACGGCCACTCAACATCCCCAACCTTACTTGAGCCACCCACTAGCCGCTGAGGGGCCATCTCAAAGTGGCGTCCCGTCTGCCAGTGCTGTCGGTTCCCCCGAGTCGGCAAATAACAGCAGCTCAGGTGGTGTTGGAAGCAGTGGGACGGCTTCTGATGGAGCTGGGAGCAACTGTTGCATGACCGCTCTCTGTGGAGGTGTCAGCGTGACGATGGATGACGCTACTCTGCCATCGCTGCTTCGTGATGCCTCAGACAGTAACATTGAGAGCCATGGTTTCATCCCTGCTGTTGACAGCATTGGGTTGGCTGGTTCTTCCGCCCAAGTGCACAATGCCGTTGCAACGACCGTTGAAGACGTTGAAGCCGCAGCCGCGGCAGCTGCAGCTGTAGCAGGCATCGCTGCCGCTGATGTGGGTAGCAACGCGACAGGGAGCGGGAATGTGTCGTCCTCCCCCACGCAAGAGGTTGTGGCTCATGCGCAGCAGCGGTGGGACGAGGTGCAGGCGGATGCGGAGGCGATCAGGCTGGCGCTGGAGCGAGAGGCGAGGGAGCGAGAGTTGCTGCGACTCGCAGAGCTGCATGCCGCCAGCGTGCTCGATGACGCCTTCCTCTCCTCGCCTCCCCTCGCCTCGCGCTCTCCCCCTGAGGACCCAGCAGATTATGCGATAGCCGACCATCCGGACGCGTCTGTGATCCACATGTGGCCGCCTCTTGAGCAGCCTCTGCCTGCTTATAGCCCAGACGGGCAGACAGGAAGCCCTGAGGAGGTGCTTGAGAGTGATGCGGAACAGACGAGTGAGGGAATTCAGGTGCAAGGGGGGGTTACAATGGAGGGGGTCGAAACGGCAGGCAGCACAGGCTCCCGCGGGTCTGTGCGCGGTCACTCGCCAGGCTACTTATCTGCCTCGCCTGGCGGCAGCAACTTGTCATCCTCCCAACCATCACCACGAGCCTCAGCGCCGCTCGCGGCCAGCGTTGCTGTGCAACCCAGCGTTGTCATGGGCGCGGACAGCACCATGGAGGTGTGTGGATACCGGAACAAAAGCTTGCGTAAGCCTCTGTCTCTGCACCTCAATGCTGCTCGCTTTCTGGCATATCATAACCTTCCTTATCTCCGCCTCTCCATGTGACTAGCAGCTGGATGGGAGCATGGACGGGGAAGCGCGTCTGATGCAGCTGCTGCTGCGCGTGGAGAGGGAGCGGCAGCGGGAGCTAGCAGCACTGCTCTCCTTCAGAGCTGTCACCGAGTCCTCCTCACGCCACCGCCTCCAGGTATCTCATTGGCAACGCACACAGCGCCCACACTCGTATACAAGCACACTGTTTTGTCAGAACCTCGAGTCCATCATGGCATTAGCCTGCGTCGCCCTAGCCGTGCGTACCGTTCATCACATTCTCACCTGCCTCTTTCTCTCCACTCCTTCCAGGCGTGGATGCAGCGCCGGAACTTGCTGACGCAGCAGGAGCCGGTGGAGGAGGAGGACGAAGAGCAGCCACAGATGACCGAGGTGCAGGAGGAAATAGGAGCGCTGCGAACGCACCGATTTGTTTCTGGGATTGAGTAAGTATGACTACTGCAGGAGATTGCTACTGAGGCTTGTTGAGGAAGTGCTAGCCTCTTTTGTTGTCCATGATCCATGATACCAACCTTGCACTTCCCCTTGCCTTGCACCCTTTGCCAGGTCTCAGTTCAGGTCCAACTTGGAGAGCCTGATTGCTCTCGGCCCGACACGTGCATGGCAGCAACGGAGCTTGCGGCAGTTTTCAGCAGCAGCAGCAGCAGCAGCAGCAGTTGAACACACCTGCTCAAGGCAATCCGAGCGCCCCACAGGGCCAGGCTCCATGGGCACGTGCACCTCCTGCCGGAGGCGCCCCTGTTGCACCTGTTCATGTCACGAGCGCTGGTGTCCCTCCCCCTCCTCGTGCCACCCTGCCATCTCCTGTACCCCTTCCTCTGCCTCCCCAACCTACATCTCTGGCGCGTGCACGGGCTCCTGGCAGGGGGCCTCGACTGCTGCCGCCTGCTCCCTCCCCTCCTCCTCCCTTCGGCACGCCTCCCCTAACAGAGTACAATGAGGAATTGCAGGAGCTTCTTAGCCGGTAAGCACTGCTTTCTTACTGCTGTCTTGCTGCGTGGCCCCTCTACTTGCAACCCTTGCACATACTGTTTCCCCCACACCCTGTATGGGCTCCCTCTCATACGTCGTCCCTGTTGGTGCACACAGGCGCAGTGTGACAACGCTGTTGACATCAGAGTTCCGCCACCGTCTGGAGCATCTCATCCACTCCTTCATCACGCTGCGAAGGCCCTTGGCTGCTGCCACTGCCGTGCCTTCGCCTGCCGCCGTTTTAACCCCTGTGCAGCGCCGCCAGCAGCAGAGGCAGCAGCGACGCCAACAGCAGCAGCAGCAGCAGCAGCAGTCGCAGCCGCAGGAGCCAGGCCAAGTTAATGGGAATGAGAACGGGGAATCAGAGGTGCCTGCTGGTGCAACTGCAGCTCGCCAGCCACCCATTCCTCCCCCACCTCCCCAGACTCCCCTCTGGCAAATGCCGCTCAACGCCCATGCTGGCCCGCCCATGGGTGGAGGGATGGGAGTGCGTGGGGCACATGCATATGGTGGAGGGTTCAACCAGCACCACACACAGCGCTACATGGACCATGTGAGCCCAGGCCACCCTGCTCTTGTCACCCCCACACCATGTGTTTCATAGCTGCTGTCTGTTTTTCTTGATTCTCCTGTCATCCCCTCTGCTGTCACCAACGCGCTGCCATGCCGTTCCTCTGCTCTGGTTCCCTGTGTGCCGTGCTGTGCCGCAGGGGTGGTTGGAGGTGCGTGACGAGGTGAGGGCCATGGAGGCGAGGATGCAGGAGCAGATGCAGCGAGTGGAGCAGGCCATGGAGGTGTGCCTCTCCATGATGTCTGAGCTGCAGCGCGCACAGCGCCAGGAGCTAGCCGGGGCACTGCGTCGCGTCTACGACTCCGGCAGAGGTTCGTTTCCCTGCTCATTGCCCCACAAGCAGGCGGCCGTTCCCATAATTGCATCTGTGTTTTGCAAATCACTCTGGTGTCTTGCCTTGCCATATGGCTGCATGGTTAATTGCAAGGCAGTTGCCTCAGCAACCAGTTGATCTGATTTCCTGCTGTGACTATGATATGATGTACAGGTGTGCCACAGGAGGCACTGGACGGACATAAATGGGCTCTCATTCGCTCCGGCACTTGCTGTGTCTGCTGCGACAAACCCATCGACTGCTTGCTGTATCGGTATGACTCAATCTCACCTTCAGCATTAATGACCCACATGTTATGGTATATGGTGCTCAGGCTGTTCCTTTCTTCTGCCTTAAGCTCATCGCTCCAATGGGTTTTTGGTTGCAGGTGTGGCCACATGTGTGCTTGTGTGGGGTGTGCAAACGAGCTCAAGAGGAGGGACCAGAACTGCCCCATGTGCCGTGCACCCATAGTGGAAGCAGTCAAGGCGTACACAGCTGCAAGTGGGCACCTCTGATACCTTATCTGACGACTCGCACTAAGTGGAGTGTGTGTTTGTGCTAGCCGCTCAGAATTGTGACCACCTTGACTCGGTTATATCTCCTGTATATATGTCTGTGTGCTATTTATGCTGCTTTTGAATGATAATGTACCGGTATGTTAGAATCACAACTGCATGGAATTAAAATGATGAAAGGAGTTGGTGTTCCAGGACGGTATTTGCCTCGTGTCGCACCATCAGGCAGTCTGGTCAGACAGCGGGCGCAATCCCCCACGGATTCGTTTCGATTGGGGTAATCATCGCCACAAACTAAGATATGTGGCTCTCATGCCCACTTTTGCCCAGCAAATTCGGGATCTAGGGTTTCGAGTTTGCAGGTGTGGAGCTTGTGACGACTTGCTCACACGAGGCGCCATACTTGCGTGCTGATTCTCGTGCTCAAGGCTTGACACCATCTTCCTTAAGCACCCGATCTTGTTGTATCACCGGCGTGCTTCTTCCGTTTGCAGCTAGTTCCTCGCATCGTTTGATAACCGCCTGGTGGTTTGGTTTTTAGCCGATTAAAGCACCATGGCCGAGCCGTTGTCACAGGAGCCGATGCACTCACAGGGACTATACGGCGAGCGGGATTCCACTCAAGGTCGAGGCGCCGGTGACCCGCTGCGTTTCCTGGAGTTTTCGACGCAGGGCGAGGATGGGGAGTATGAGTACGCGACGCAGTTCCACGATCTCAGCCAGCCGTCGCGGCCGGACGGCGTGGGGAGCGGAGGTTGGGTGGACTCGCACTTAGGAGCGTCGAATTCCGCGGATCATGCTGACGCGCTACGAGCGGAAGCAGCGTATAGGAATGACAGCGCCGCGAGTCAGGCCGGCGCGTTCGCGGAAAATGGCCTGTCGGCGCGGGACGACGCAGGGCGGGCGGGGATGGGCGCGAGCGAGGCCGGCGCAGCGGGTGGGAACGGCGTGGCCGCGGCGGATGCGCTGAGCGCGGCGATGAACGATCTGAGCTTCGACGAGATGGGCGAAGAGGACGCGATGGATTTCCCCGCCACGGACCTGCCGGAGCACGCGTGCAAGTACTGCGGCATCCACAACCCCGCGTGCGTCGTGCGCTGCAACTTCCCCACGTGCCGCAAGTGGTTCTGTAACTCGCGCGGCAACACGTCCGGCTCGCACATCGTTAACCACCTCGTAAGCGCCTCGCCTGATCGTCTCGCTTCTGCCGACTCACAACCCCAGACCGGTAGTGCATCATACCCTAATTGTTTTTAGGAGTCGACCCGTTACCTCTGCGATTTTTGCGTAATTCTCTATGTTAATCTGTTCGTTGTCGCCGGTAGCGCTGTGAGCCGTCGTTTCGCGGGTCGGACCCCTTGCTCCCTAGTGCCGTGCCGTTTGCGTCTGAGCGCCGCGTCCGCTGTGAACCCCGCGCTGCACTCTGCAGGTGCGCGCGAAGCACAAGGAGGTGTGCCTGCACCGGGACAGCCCGCTGGGCGAGACCATCCTCGAGTGTTACAACTGCGGGTGTCGCAACGTGTTCCTGCTGGGCTTCATCCCCGCCAAGGCGGAGTCGGTGGTGGTGCTGCTGTGCCGCGAGCCGTGCCTGTCCGTGAACGGGCTCAAGGACATGAACTGGGACCTGCTGCAGTGGCAGCCGCTCATCCACGACCGCTGCTTCCTCTCCTGGCTCGTCAAGGTGCCCCCACCCTCCCATCGCCACTCGCCTCTCGGACCTTGCACCTTGCACCTTGCACCTTGCACCTTGCACCTTGCCCCCTGCTTTTCGCCCCGCGCCCCTCTCCCCTCGCACCTCTCCCGTCGCCCCTCTCCCGTCACCCCTCTCCCGTCACCCATTACCCCTCATCCTTCACCCCCCGCCTCCGCTACTTCTCATGCCTTTCTCCCACCATCTCCGTTGCTTCACCCCTCTCACGCGCCACACACCCCGCGCGGCTCTCACTCACGTGCCCATCACGGCTCTCTCGCGCAGGTGCCATCAGAGCAGGAGCAGCTGCGCGCGCGGCATCTGAGCGCGCAGGCGGTGAACCGTCTGGAGGAGCTGTGGAAGACCAACCCCACCGCCTCTCTTGACGACCTTGACAAGCCCGGCGTGGACGACGAGCCGCAGCCCGTCGCGCTCAAATACGAGGACGCTTACCAGGTGGGCGCGGGCGCGGGGAGGGAAGGAGGGGTGGCAGGGGGTGGTGTGAGGGGACTGGAAGAAGCGCACTTTGCTCTGCACTTTTCCGGGTTTCGGTTTCAAGTGGAGCTGTTGCCTTGTTTCGCCTGAATGCCGTAGGGATGTCTAGTTTGGTCTCCATTCCCCATCCCCGCAGTTGCTAACAACTCCCACCTCACAACGCCAACCCCCCTTGTGCCCATGTGCAGTACCAAAACGTGTTTGGCCCGTTGGTGAAGCTGGAGGCGGATTATGACAAGGTGAGCACACACCACACCTGCTGCGCACGCCATCTTTGCTGCGCACGCCACCTATGCTGCGCACGCCACCTATGCTGCGCACGCGAGTTGCCATGTGCTTGCTTCTCCCTTCCTCCATCCGTCTTCCTTGCTGCATCTGGATGCCATCTGTGCCTGTGCATCGGTCGCTCTGCACGCGCTTCACTGTATCTGGCCTGCCATGGGGTGCGTGGTGGTGGCTGGGGGGAGCAGATGATGAAGGAAGCACAGACCAAGGACAACATCACAGTGCGCTGGGACGTGGGGCTCAACAAAAAGAGGATCGCCTACTTCGTCTTCCCCAAGGTGCCTTTCTGATTCTGCTCCACGTTATCCGCTCGCCCCTTTGTGGTGAAAGTTCCTTGCTTGCTGCTCCTGCTGAAGCCCGAGTGTCTCAACTTGTATAACTTCTGCTTGTGTGCGTGTGCATGCATGTGCGTGTGTGTGTGTGTGTGTGTGTGTGTGCATGCGTGTGTGTGTGCATGTGTGTGCATGCGTGTGTGAGAGCAGGAGGAGAGTGAGCTACGGCTGGTGCCAGGAGATGAGCTGCGGTTGAAGTACCCAGGGGATCCCATCCACCCCGCATGGCAGTCTGTTGGCCACGTGGTGAGCCGTCCTCCCTCGCCCATCATTTAAAGTAGAGGATGAAACATGGCATGTGGAAATGGATGGGCAGGGGGAAGAAACGGCTGCAGAGGAGGGGAGCGAGAGCGAGAGGGAAAGGAGCAGGTTGTTTGGGCATGCTTCAGTGATACGCTCTCCTTCCAATTCCATTAATTGACTTATTCTTGCCGTTGGCCATTCCACCACCTGTTCCCCCCCCCTTGACCCCCCTCAGATCAAGCTAACGCCACAGGAGGAGGTGGCGGTGGAGCTGCGAGCAGGCCAGGTGAGCTGCCATGCCATGCCATGCCATGCCGTGCCATGCCGTGCCATGCCGTGCCATGCCGTGCCATGCCATGCCATGCCATGCCATGCCATGCCAGCGCTATCCACATCCACAGCCACTGTTCCCACTCGTTCCGCACCTGCTCAGTTACGATGCCACGGCATGCATCTGCACTTTCCTAGTACTTGTACCCCACAATACCATCCCTAATGATCCGTCCTGCTTGTGCATCGCCCCTTCTCTTGCGTGTTTGCACATGTGGGCGTTTGTGTGTTTGCACATGTGGGCGTTTGTGTGTTTGCACATGTGGGCGTTTGCGCGTGCGAGCAGGGGGCGCCAGTGGAGGTGACACACGGGTTCAGTGTGGACTTTGTGTGGAAGAGCACGTCCTTTGACCGCATGCAGGCTGCCATGAAGCTCTTTGCTGTCGATGAAACCTCCGTCTCTGGGTCAGCTCCCTGCCTTCACCTCCACTCTACCATGCACTCCCCCAGCATGCCCTCCAGTCCAACTTCCTTTTTGCTCACTCGCTTCTCCAGTTCTCTTATCCACCCTCCCCCTCTACCCTCCCTTATTGCCCTCACTCTGTCCATTGTTCAAATATTGTTTCTCCCCCACGTCTCATACTTCTGAAACTGTGCCATCACATTTCTCGCCCTGCCTTGTGTCTCACCCACCCACCTTTTCCCCCCCTCTTCCCCCTCCCTTGCACCCCGTGCACCGTCCCGTATCTGCGTGTGCGGGCAGGTTCATCTACCACCGGCTGCTGGGCCATGATGTGGAGCCACACACGGTGCGCAACGTCATGCCCAAGCGCTTTGGCGCGCCCGGCCTGCCCGAGCTCAACCACTCGCAGGTGCGTGCGCCTGGTCCTCCCCCCCCGTGCTGCTCTCTCTCCAGGCCTTGTTTTGTTGGTTGGGACAGGTTGCTCTGCTGTGTTGCATGCAGTGGGGGGGATCCTACTCTTTTTGTAGGCACCTCCTTGGCGTCTCACCGTGCACGGCCTTGTGTTGTGCTGGTGTGTGTGTGTGTGCATGGTTTTGGGGTGAGGGGATTTGCATGTGGTTGCATGTTTTTGTGCGTGTGTGTGCTGGGAAAGGGGCGGGGGTGGTCTGGCTGCGTGGTGGAGGATGCATGGGGCGGGGGGCAGGGATGGTGTGGCGCATGTGCATGTGCATGTGCATGTGCATGTGCATGGCTTGCGAGTGCATCATGCATGGCGGTGTGCCTGCGCCCACACAGATCTCAGCGGTGAAGAGTGTGCTGCAGAAGCCGCTGAGTCTCATCCAGGGCCCGCCAGGCACGGGCAAGACAGTGACATCGGCGGCCATAGTGTACCACTTGGCGCGGCAGGAGCAGGGGCAGGTGCTGGTGTGCGCGCCCAGCAACGTGGCGGTGGACCAGCTGGCGGAGAAGATCAGCATCACCGGCATCAAGGTACCGCACCGCACCGCACCGCACACATGCTGCTGCGTGAGGGGTTCTTGTGGGATATTTGTTTTGAGTGTGGGAAGCGGTGGGGGACAGACAGCATGGTGGGTGGGACGGCTGGGTGGGGAGTTAGGTCGGGACGGTGGCGGGCTGATTCCCACACCACTTTGCATCATGCCAGCCAGAGTGCCAGAGGCTCGGAATGTGGCTTGCCATGAAGGCTATTTTTAAGATGTCTGTGTGTGTGTGGTGTGTGGTGCTGTTACCAGGTGGTGCGGCTGTGTGCCAAGTCAAGGGAGAGTGTGAGCTCGCCTGTGGAGCATCTCACCCTGCACCACCAGGTACGCCCCCGCCCCCTGCCCCCTGCCCCCTGCCCCCTGCCCCCTGCCCCCTGCTTGCTGCCTGCTGCCTAGTGCCTGCTGTTCTGATGTCTCTTTGGCAGTCCACACTTGCGCTCTGTGGCCTTGCATACCCCTCATGCATGCGAATCTCTCTCCATGCGCGGCTTATTGATGCTGCTGCTTGTATGACGGTCAGGTGCGCAATCTGGAGGAGGCGGAGAAGGGCGAGCTGCACAAGCTCATGATGCTCAAGGAGGAACAAGGTAACGCACCCTTCCCTCACTTCTCTTGCTGCTGCTTGCACTCCACCCGTCCATTGTTTATCTCCATCCCCACCCCAACTGCATACATCATTCCTTGCTTCTTCTGCTCCGTTTTGCGTTGCTTCTGGTGCCCTCTCCCGCCGTCGCTGCACGTGTGTGTCTGCGTGTGGCCCCTGTGACCACTGTTCCCTGCGCATGCGTGTCTGGGCGAGCAGGCGAGCTGTCGAGTGCGGATGAGAAGAAGTTCAAGGCATTGAAGCGCGTGGCAGAGAGGGAGATCTGCCAGAGCGCAGACGTCATCTGCACCACCTGTGTGGGCGCAGGTGACCCGCGCCTCTCCAACTTCCGCTTCCGACAGGTGCGCCTGCCGTGGGGGCTGTAGTTGGGGTTGCCGTGGGTGATTCTTGCTATGCGACCCACTTGCCACGTGTGCTATCCTTAGCTGTGTGAGAACGCTCCATACGCTTTCAAACGCGTTTTACCTTCGTGGTGTGAGGATAAAGTGTTGGTACACGTGTGTGTGCGTCCTTGTGCTGTGCTGTGCTGTGCCCCATGGCAGGTGCTGATAGACGAGTCAACGCAGGCCACGGAGCCCGAGTGCCTCATTCCCCTCGTCATGGGCGCCAAGCAGGTGCGCCCCGCCTCCTTGCACTGCTCGCCTCTGTACCCCGGCCCTCTCATGCCACGCCATGCCACGCGATACCATGCCATGCGCTGTAATGCCGGAGCACATGCGAACCCACACCCATGCCCCTCCTTGACCTGTCATCTTCGTGCGTGCACTTGGTGTGTGTGCATGGGGTGGGTGTGTACGTGTGTGCGTGCGTGTGGGTACATGTGTGTGCGTGCATGTGAGCATGGCAGGTGGTGTTGGTGGGGGACCATTGTCAGCTGGGTCCAGTCATCATGTGCAAGAAGGCAGCCAGGGCGGGCCTCGCCCAGTCACTCTTTGAGCGCCTCGTGCTGCTCGCTGTCAAGCCCATCCGCCTCCAGGTACCCCGCCTTGCGTTGCACTGGTCCACAGGCGCGCCTTGGTCCCCCTCAGCTTCACTGCGTTCGCCGTTGCAACGCACCATCTTCACAACCCCTTCACCCTCGTTTGTACTTGTCGTGACCACCATCGCCTCGCCTCTCCCCCTCTCTCACCCCACCCCCCACGCTCCCCCCTTCGCACTGCACCCCTTCTCTGTATAGGTATCCTCTCACTCTGCCTCTCTCACTCCATCTCCCGCTCTCTTCCCCTCCCTCACTTTCACTTTTCCTCTTCCCCATCCGCGCTGCACTACCCCCACCAGGTGCAGTACCGCATGCACCCATGTCTATCGGAGTTCCCCAGCAACACGTTCTACGAGGGCACGCTGCAGAACGGCGTGGCGGACGCGGACCGCTGCCTGCCTGGCATCGACTTCCCCTGGCCCGTGCCCAACCGCCCCATGATGTTCTACGTGCAGGTGCGCCTGCCTCTGCCTGCCTGCTGGAACGTGCACGTTTTGCCAGTAGCTACCCACCCATGCATGGACCATGGCATGGGTTATGGATTCCTGCATAAGCCTTTCCGTTGCTGCATGACTGCTGTCGTTGCCCAACCCACGCGTGACCTCACCTCTTGAGTTGTCCAGCAAGTACCGTCAATTCATTGCTTCTCTCTTTCTGTCGTCACCCTCCCTGTCCCGCCGTGCTGTGCTGTGTGTGTGGGTGGCATGTGAGTGCAGTTGGGGCAAGAGGAGATGAGTGCGAGTGGGACGTCGTACCTGAACCGCTCAGAGGCCTCGCATGTGGAGAAGGTCGTCACGCTCTTCCTGCGCAACGGATGCATGCCGCACCAGGTGGGTGGGCCTTGTAATAACATCACTTAGTCAACCCACGTGGGCTGCTGCTCCTGCCCAGCCCCTGTGTGCTGCGCCCAGTGCAGCGCATCTCTCACCCATCCACCTGTGTTGCATGCTTACGAGTCACCATCGGGCCTCGGGTCGAATCCAAGTAGGCCTCTTCCGTCACCCCCTCATCACTGGTATGTCTTCATGCTGTCACCCCTCTCTCTGCCCACGCCCATGATGCCATGATAATCCACGGCAGATAGGGGTGATCACGCCGTACGAGGGGCAGCGCGCGTACATTGTGACGCACATGGCGCGCAACGGCCCTCTGCGCCAGCAGCTCTACAAGGACATTGAGGTGGGTGGGTGGGCTTGCTGGTCACTGAGCTTTGCGTGATTTATCACTTCGGAAACTCGACCCAGCATTGTTGGTTCGGCAGTGCGAGGCCTGGTTCTAACTGGTGCTGCTGCTGTTGCCGTGGCGGTGCGTGCATGTGTGCAGGTGGCGAGTGTGGATTCGTTCCAGGGTCGTGAGAAGGACCTCATCATCCTGTCATGTGTGCGCAGCAACGAGCATCAGGTGCTGCCTCTCCCCTTCACCTGCTTCACTTCCACAACCTTTTCCCCTCCGCATCTGCTGGCGTGCTTTACATTTTCCCTGCTACCGTGCTCGTCGCTCGTCTCCATGGCTGCTTCTCCTTTGCACAGCAAACGAGCACGCATTCAACCGCATTTCCAACCGCATCCTATGCTCGTCTGCACACAGGTTCTGCTGCCCCTCACCTTTTAGTCTCCGTCTCCCTCCCCCCCCTGTGTGCAGGGCATTGGGTTCCTGAACGACCCGCGGCGGTTGAACGTGGCGCTAACACGTGCCAAGTACGGGGTGGTGCTGCTGGGCAACGCCAAGGTGCTCTCCAAGCAACCGCTCTGGAACCTGCTGCTCACGCACTTCAAGGTAACTAACCACCTCCTCCTCTCTTCCTTCTCCTCCCGGCTTCCGCGCCGCACGCCCCTCCTGCTCCTAGCTGTCCTGTCGCTTGCCTGCACTGGTCCCTGACGGTTTTTCCTTGCTGACTTGCTTTCCTTGACCGTCGTGTGTGGCATGCGATCTTGGTGGCTCGTTGCTCAAAGGGTGTTGCTTGCTGTTCGTCTGTGCCATGACCGTTGCCTGTGGGCAGGAGAGGGAGGCGCTAGTGGAGGGCCCGCTCACGAACCTCAACCAGAGCATGGTTCAGTTCCACAAGCCCTCCAAGGTGCTGCTGCGCTTCCCCCCACCAACTGGCCCCCCCCACCCCCCCTGAACCTGCCCCCTTCCCACTCCTGCGCCCCCCGCTTCCATTGCTCCACCTGCCCATTTCTTTCTCACCTGCCTGCACTTCCCTCGCTCTCTCATTTTTTACGCACTCCAGCTTCATTGCCTTGTACGGCTGCTTGTTTCCCATGCATTGACATCACAGTGAGCAGTATCTTCATACTTTTTGCAACATTTTTCTCACTAGCGCCTCTGCCCTTTGCATCCTTGCCTCCCCCCTGCCACCATTCCCCTGCGTCTTTCCCTCTCCCCGTCCCCCGTCTCTGTGTGTGTGCCAGCCGCACTTTGACCGGCGCATGCCATCATCGGGCATGGTGGCGCTGGGAGCACCAGAGCCCTTCGTCCCCACGCTCACACCCACCGTGCCCGCCATGCCCTCACATGCCCGCCCCTACCCGCCCGCACGCGGCCCGCCCTTCCCCCCGTCCGCCCGGCCCATGCCTCCTGTCAGCATGCCCGGCCAATCCTACCCCTCCCCTGCCTCCGCCCCCTTCCCCCCCCACCTCCCCAACGGCTTCCCCCGCGGCGTCCCCCCGTCTGCCTCCCCCCACGGCCCCATCCCCCCGCGCATGCCCCTACCTGGCTTCCCCCTGGGCGCATATGCGCAGCCCTATGCCATCCCCTCGCGCCCCGCACTGGGGCAGGCAGCGCAGCAGGTGGCAGTGGGGCCTCAGGGCGAGGGGAGGGGCTTTGGCATGGGCAGAGGCGCAGGGGGGAGGGGAGGAGGCGGAGGCGGAGGCAGGGGGCTGGGTGTGGTGGCGGATGGGAGGGGCGAGGCAGGGGGGCGAGGGAGAGGTGTGGATGGAGGGATGTCTCAACAGGAGATGCTCACACAGGTGGGCGGCAGGGGGCCAGACCAGCCGTGTGTGTGCGTGCTGCTGTGTGTAGCCTCACTGATTGCTTGCTCTTTACTGCCTGCACTGCGTGCGCTCTGTGCTCTCTGTTAACAAGCTGCTGCATGAGTGCCCGCTTGCAGCGCCAGCCAGCTTACACCGTATGCCTTGTCGTGTGCAGCTCACTCCATGAGTGCCGTTTCTCTAATTGTGTGTCTCTCTGTATGTGTGTCTGTCCCTCCGCCCATGTGCACGGCTCGCCCATGCGTGCAGGCGCCCAGCAGCAGTCAGGGCGGGTCTGCGGGCGCGCCTCTCAGCCAGGCGCCACACAACGACCTCTTCCCCCTCACCATGTCACAGGTGCCGCCCTCCACCGTTACTGTTACCGGCTCCTCTGTTGCCCCTGCACTCGCCCCTCCACTCGCCCCCCTTTACCTTGCTTTTGCTTCCCCACCGCACACACTCAGTACTAACATCCGTTCATGCATAGATTTCCTTAAACTGCTGCTCTCTCTAGCTTTCCTCCCCTTCCCCATCCCCATTGCCCCACTTACCACTCCCATCCCCATGCACCCTCTCTCACCACCCCATCCCTGCGTTCCCCCCCCATTTGCACCTAACGCATGCTGGTGCGTGTGTGTGCGGGCAGGACTTCCTAGGGGACGACTTCAACTCGCAGGGCTCGCTGGGCTTCGCCTCTTTCAACACGCAGGCAAGCCTCCCTTGCCGCATCTCCACCTGCCCTTTGCGCTGTTCCTTACATCCTCGTCCCGGCCTCTGCTCGTGCTCCCCTCGCACTTGCATGTTTCTCGTTTTCCTGCCTGTGGCTAGCATGGAGCATCCCCCTCTGCTCTGCTGCATAATCCGCCATTTCGCCAGTAATCCTTCTCCTCCTACTTCATGCGTCTCCCCTGGCCTAACATTCATCTCCGATGTGTGCTGTGTTGTGCGCGTGGCATGTGTGTAACAGGGCGGGTTCTCCCACCCATCATCGGACCTCATGGCCCAGCAGCGCCACCAGCAGCACATGGGGCAGCCCGCCTCTGGCGGGGGGAAGCAGGAGCAGGCGGGGGGCATGCAGTCGCAGTACTCTCAGGGCACCAACCTGCCTGCTGACCTCATGACCCAGGTGCGCTGCTGCCATGCCCGCATGCACACATATTCACATGCTCATGTGTCCACAACCTCACATTCTCTCCTCACGTCAAATTTCAGCATCACTGGGAGGGGAGGTAGTTCAGATGAGCTACAGCAGCACATGCACCTCGTGCGTTCCAGCACAGCCTGATATCGCTGCATGCCAGCCCGGAAAATGTGTGTATTTATCCTCCTCGTCCTCGCGTGCCATGCGTCATTCAACCCCTTTCCCTATTCTCGCCCACCTCCCCCGCCCTGCCTTTCTCCCCACGTGTGTCACACCACACACACCCACCCTGCGCCCTGTCCTTGTGCACCCTCGCAGGACTTCAACTATCCGCACATGCCCGATCCGTCACTCGGCTTTGGCCTCCCCTCGCGCCCTCTCTCGCAGTCGCAGCAGCCTGGGCCCTTCTCACACCACCCAGCAGATGGTCCCTCCACTCAGCACTTTGCCTCTCAGGTATCCTCGTGAATTTTTCCATAACTGCCTGTTTCTCGCTGCTGGGGCACTCACACCATGCTGGACCACTGCCAGGTTCCATCACATGTTATGCCATGTTATCTCATGGTAGGTCTCTCCATGTGCGTCTATTTGTGTGCATGTTTCTGTGCAATTTCTTCACCTGCTTCCTGTGTCCCCCTCGCTACCATCCCTGGCAGGCGTTTGGCAGCAACCAGCTGTTCACTCAGCCCTACTCGCACTTCACGCAGCAGCAGCCATCGCAGCAGCAGCAGCAGAGGCAGGGATCGTATAACGGGTAGAACCACAGGGTGCAATGTGAGGGTGATATCAGCATCCACGTGCGGCAAGTAAGAGGTGATTGGTACTCAAGGATGCTCAGGGGAAAGAGTTGGCAGGATTGGGCACAAGAGCTTGGGCATGCAGTGATGGTGGTGCCACCTGGAGCAGTGGCTTCAGCTGGGTTGACCCCCTGACATCATGCGCAGCACAGCAAGGCAAAACAAACCATATCGGCTGTTGGGAGTTCACTGCTCGTCACAGCCACTGCTGCTGCTGCTGCTGCTGCTGCTGCCGCTGCTCCTGCTGCGGCTCCTGCTGCTGCATGCCACATGCTGTCGTTGCACACACCATTGGGCCTGCTGTTACGTCTGTTGCTGCTGTTGCTGCTGTTCCTGCTGTGCCACGCGCTGCTGCACCCTGTGCTGCGGGATGGCGTCAGGATGGTGTGAGGGGAGAGCAAGGAGTCCTCGGATGCAGTGAGAGGCAGTCTGTGATTTGACGCATGTGACCTGTCCTTTTCTTGGGTGACCTCAGCAGTTGCATACAGAAGCAGCAGCAGGAAGCAGCAGCAGGGGCAGTATCAGGAGCAGCAAGGAAGCAGCAGCAGGAGCATTGGCAGGAGCTGTGGCAGGAGTAGCAGCAGCAGTGGCAGAGGAGGAGCAGTGCGATGCAGTGGGACGCGTGAGCAGCAGAGAGAGCATTATGATGAGGCTAATGAGGAGCAGCAGTGTTGGAGCAGCAAAGGCATACAGAGGCATGTGAGAAGCAGCTGCTGTGTGGAGGCAGTGTTTTGATGAGTGTAAGAGGCGCATGCATGCTGAAAGGATGCACCACTTTGTGTTCCCTGAGTCACACAGTGCAAACCACCAGTGGAAATGCATGTCTGGACAAGTCTAGAATTTCCTTTTAGGTAGGCCCTTTATTCAATGGCTGCCTGGTACCAATTCTGAAGTGAATTATCATGAGTAATGACATTGGTGGTGGAGATGGTCATAACAAGGATAACATATTTCTCTGTGTATGCTGATTCATCTGGTTGACTCTGTTCTTTAAGCAGCAATTTTGTTATTGGGGGTATAATCTAGGTGTGGTTGCTACATTATAATACCATGCCAACAGTGTGTAAAACGCAATGTAATATTCAAAGGTACAATCAGCGAAGGATATTCTGCCTAATCCTATCAACCATAGGTCCACAGCTACTCCATGGCAGCATGCCATCCATGCCCACCACGGCATGGACTGGCAGTGCACTGCACAGGCAGAGAGGAAGGTTGGGCCGTGAGCATTGCCAGGACCAAGACGTGCGGGTGCCCTACTAGGGACTGGCTCTGCCCACCCCCGCCCACACCACATGACATCACTGCTGGCCAGACAGCTTTGTCATGTGGTGTGGGAGGAGGGGGACAGAACCAGTCCGGTTTGGCCCGGAATCGAGTCCCCAGCCAATGCTCAAGGCTTCAACCCCTCTCGTGCACTGCCTTCCACCTGCATGGTACAAGAGACAGATATTAGTCCAGGCTCTTTAAAAAACAGCAAAGATGGAGCATGCGTGAAAGCAAAATGATGAACACAACTGAATAAAAAAGATTCAGCGAATTGACTCAGTGCAAAGTAAAGGGCAGAGACTTATCTGAAGTTAAAGACGTGGAGGTGTTGAGCAGTACGCAAGGACTTGGAGCTCCATGGGAGTGCAGAGAGCCCTTGGAGAGAACCTGCCACGAGGTAAATAAACAAAGTCAGTGACCGGCATGATCTTGAAAGGACAGCAAGGGTGAAAGCAAAGGGGGTAAGTAGTGTGGAGTAATGCGATAAAGCAAGGGAAATGGCTGGGGTTGAAAACTTATCTCGCCATGGTTGACCGTTGAGGGGCGAGAGCAGGCGCCATGGTGCTCCGATCCCATGGATCTTAGGCTTGGTGGAGTGTGCAGCGGTGCACAAGGTCTTGGGGGTCCATGGCATGAAGATGATGCTTGGAAAACCTGCCACGAGGCGAAATAAACAAGTCAGTCACTGGGGAGTTGAAGCACAAGGAAAAACGCTTAAGTTGATGACTTATCTTTCATGGTTGTTGAGCCTTGAGTGGTGCATGCAAAAATCCCAACCTGCCATGGTACATTCATGAATCTTGATTCTTAGGCATGCAAAAATCCCAACCTGCCAAGTGAAGTCAGAAAACTCGAGTTAGAAAGGAATAGTCAATGAAGGTAAATGTGAGGAACGAAAAGTGTGGTGCAAGTGTGCACTGCCTACAGAGCCAATACCAATAAAAAATACCTTAGGGGGACCTTTACCAACCTCAACCTTTACCATCACCTTGACCTGAACCAAGGGGGGGTGGCTCCGAGGAGTGTGGAGCGGGTGGCTGATACGTTCAACCTTCACCTGCCCTGGAGCTGCTCCTCAGTTGTACGCCACGAAGCATGGAAGGCCCTCTGTAGTCATCGCAGCAGACCCTCAGATAGAACCTGCAGGTTTGGCAACAAACAAGAATTAGTAAAGGAAGGGCAATAAAGCATGCAAAACGAAAAGAAACGTGGAAAAAACAGAGCCAAATACCAACCGAAAAACCTTCAGGGGGAACCTGTACCATACCTTGACCTGTACCTAACCTTAACCAGGGGGGGGCTCTGTGAAGTATGAAGGGTGGGTGATACTTCAACCTTCTCATCTGTTGGCCTTCATGAAGCATGGAGAGCCCCGAAGGCCTTTGCTCCTCTTAAACATTCGGATATACGCCTCGCAGCCTCCATTAGAACCTGCGAGTGTAGAAAAAAACATGTAGTTAGTATACGGAATTGAAAAAAGCATGCAGAAAACGACTTTGCGAAGTGAAGAAACATGTGCTGCCCCACCACAGAGCCAGTACCTGTACCGAGAAAAAAAACCTCCTGGGGACCTTTACCTAACCTGTACCGAACCTTTACCAAACCTTAACCGGGGGGAGGGCTCTGTGGTGAGTGGTGGTGCAAGGTGATACGTTTAACCTTCACCAGGACGACTCGTGGAGCTGCTCCTCTGCTCCTCTGGTCGATCGATGACACTTCAGCCACGTCGTAGCTGGCGTCGCGACAAGGCCGAGGACGCCTTGAAGAGTGGAGAGCCACGAAAGTTGTTGCTCCCCTGAAAGCTTCGGAAGTACGCCTTGCAGCCTCCAATAGCACCTGCAAGTATAATAATTAACACGAAGTCAGTAAACGGAAGCGAAGAAAGCAAAAGGAAATGAAGACTGTAAACGTGAAAAAAAAACATGTGCTGCCCCACCACAGAGCCAGTACCAACCAAATACCTTGGGAACCTTTACCGCACCTGTACCGAACCTGTACCAAACCTTTACCAGGGAGGAGGCTCTGTGGTGAGTGGTGGTGAAAGGTGATACTTTCAACCTTCGCCGTAACAAGTCGGGGATATCGATGTCGCTTCAGCCACGTCGTAGCTGGCGTCGCGACGATGTCCAGGAAAAACGCAGATCCACGACGAATCAATGATTACAAGAATGTCCTGCGCATTGTAGAACAACGAACGTCTTAGTCAGGATCTGGGTCAAAACAAACTGAAGTGGTACGCGCGAACCTACTGAAATTAGATTGCTTATACGGAAACGAAATCGGGATAACTGTTGTACCTCGCGTCATAGACGAAATCGGGATCTGCAGGCGAAGTTTACTAGGTAACGTAGCAAAAACTCCCATGATCAAGGTTGTGAAGCTCTGCGACCCAATGCCAGGTTGACCGGTGACAACGTGAGAAGGTAGTGATGCTGCGGGAGTGGTAGAGCCAAGCTCGTCTGGTGAAAATGGCAAGAATGCTACGGAGACGAATTAAAATTCCGAGTCGAAGAGTCTGGAATCAGAATGAGCCTGATGACCGTGCGGATCGTCTGATTGCGGACCGTTGGGGTTAATGACTGGTGAAAACAGGCTACCGTTCGGATCCTGCATTGCTGGCTTCAGTGGTGGTCCCAAATATGCCACCCTGGACTTCGGCGGATCGGAACAGCATCGACATCAGCACTATCTCCAGCTTCTGATTGGGCCGCCTAGTGTGGAAGCTGAAATCCGCGATAAAAAAAATATATCATGTGTCTCCAGTTTGGTACACGTTGGCTGTTTGAACGGCCAAAAACAAAGTATGGTTGGAAACACCGACTCCAAAAATCTAGTGACGTGGCCAGCCGCTAATCCAACCGGCGCCGATCGTTTCCCGAAGCGTGCAGCCAAGCGAACCGCACTAAAGCATGGCAGGTGGCTGGAGCAGGAAACTTGGGAGGGAACCGCTCTAAAGCAGGAGAGATTTTTTAGGGTCGTCTGACAGAAGCGGCAGTGTGAGAGAGGGAACGGAGGAGTTGAAATAAACATCATCCGTTTGAAGGAGAAGATGTGTTCTCGCGGACTGGCGAGCTCACAGGTAACCATTGTCGTGAGATTGGTTTCGCTAAGTCGCGTTGCGATTGGGTTGGGGGATTATCGGATTGTCAAGATTTCCTGAGACGTGTTTCGCGAAATGTTTTGCTGTTGTTTGGCGAAACGCTTCGTCAGCCCGGGTGTGTAGGGGTCTGGTGCGTGTGGCAAGGGAAAACGCAGGTAGGTCGGATGTGTGACGGAGGGTCGAATCTGGTTGAACACGGTTCTGACAATTCCAGCGGGATTGCATTGCGCTGAGAAGGCAATCCCACAAAATCTACGCTTTCACAATGCATGTGGTTCAGTAAGTGTTAGTGTGGTAAGACGCGGTAATAATACCCCTGGCACCGTAAAGCACCTGACAAAACCGATGTTGCGTGAACCAGAAATATCACCCCAATCCCAAGGCACACTTTCGTTTTCCCGCGTAACTCCCCGACTTTCTCAGCATCCCGCCTACCCTGGGATTGTTTCGCTGTGCGGGCTGTGCAGGGGTAAACAGGACTTCCACATCAGCCGCTGCGGTAAGTTTAGAGTCTGTGTATATTGATTATTGAAGCGTAGAGGTGGACCTTCAGATTCATCAAGACTTGTATGTTGTATGTAGAATGAAAATC